CGTTAATGAGGAGCAGTAAACTGAAGCCGAACAAGCTGAACATGCTTGAGTAGGGTTGAAAGCGTGAGCGGAAGGGTATGTCTGTGATGCCCTGCGCATCCGATGCCTTGCGGTACCTGAAGTAGATGATACAGCAGCAAATCCAACTTTGATAAGCGCCCGTGTTGATCAAGTTGGTGAACCAATTGAACACAGTTGCACCAGTCGAAGCAACATTGAGATACGCCAACAATGAGAAAGAGGCACTAGCTGCTGTGGCGTAGTATGGGACACCCGACTTCGTACAGCGGGTGAAGATCTTTGGCGCGTTGCCAGCAAGGGCCATCGAATAAAGAGCGCGGCTAGCAAGATACTACAATGCGTGTTAGAGGAGTCTCGAAAAGGGGGTGGACAGCATACCAGATAGGAGTTGCCTGCAGACCAAGCACTCAGGACGATAACGACGTTAACCACGCTATCGAGGCCCTTGATACCAGCCTCTCTAATGCCAATTGCCCAAGGGGAAGCGCCTGCGCCTTTGCCGCCACTGAGGAGGTTGGGATTGTTGCTGCTGACAATAATCCCCACAGCCAGGGCACCAAGGATGTAGAATGTGATAAGGCGATAGAAGTATCGACGGATTGCGGTTGGAATATTGCGGCGAGGGCTTTCCATCTCTCCACCTGTGACGACAAGTAGTTCCGGCGCAAACGCGAACGCAAACACGGAAAAGGTGGTGGTCGAGACGAAAGCCACCAAACGCCCAGAGTCTCCTGTCACAATGTATTCTTTTACAGGCCCTGGATTGGACCAGTTCGAAAACCAAAGAAAATGATGCGAGGGACCGCCACCAAAGAAGAGTACAACCGAGAGGATGAGTAGACCGATAATACCGAAGACTTTCATGCTGGCAAACCAGAACTCGGCCTCTCCATAGACTTTAACGGGGAAGCAGTTAAGAGCAATCATGACGGCGCCGATGAGCGTCAACCAGAACGCAATATGCAGAGGCGGTGACCAGTAGTTGATGACGATGTAGGTTGCAGTGATCTCGGCCGGAACCGTGATGGAGAAGATGTACCAGTATACCCAACCCAGTGTAAACCCGAGACTGCGCGAGAAGAATCGTTGACCGTAGTAGGCGACTGAAGAGCCAGGAACCGGGAGATAAGCGCTCATTTCGCCGCTGGCCGTTGCCACGCCGTAGAGAAGAAGAGTGATGCTGATGTAGGAGATGAGGAGGAACAGGGGCCCGCCCATGTTCAGGCCCTGCCCGACACCGACGAAGAGGCCGGTTCCGATTGTCCCCCCAAGGCGATCATTTGCGCGTGTCGAGATTTGAGGCCACGTTGGGTCGAGCCGTGTTGTTGCCCCTCGGGACCCAGCACGCCTCCGCGTACGGACTCCATCGGACGGAGCTCGACATCGGTGTCAGCGACGGTTGGGGACTTCATCTTCTCGTTATCGTAGGACGGAGAATTAGACGTTGTAGCCTTGTAGATGTCAGTTACGACAGCGTTCAAGTGATTGATATGGAGTTACAGGACTGAAGCCATGTAAAACCTCCCTGTAAAAACGAAGTAGGTACTGGTTTGCGGTGATACAGTTTCTGTGTCGTGATTGTTGTGAAGTCTTGATTCAGGACCGAGTTCATCAAGTCAGCAGCGCCAAGGGGATTGCTATTTAAATACTTCAGCCAGGCTGAAGGGGAAGATGCGGATGCTAGAAGTGACTCAAGAGCCGTGTAGACTTTTGCAACGCTGCTGACGAGTTCATCATGGGGTACGCAGCATTGAAGCTGTCATTGGCTTGTGCATCCCACTACGACTCAGCCCAGTACCAAGGGCGCGGGTTTGAATATTGGTTAGGAACGTTTCCCGGAGGCTATCAGCTTCATCGTAGCATAACTCAAGATACGCTGGGTTTATTTTGCACTAAGCTTGATAAGGGAGGCTAAGGGGTTTCGTTGATGGCGTTGTCGTTATTACTTTCCTAAACTTTCGAGGCTACCTAATCAGCCAAGCCTCTGGCAAGGTGAATTTCCCCGCGCAACTATCGGCTTCCCCGGACATATCCCTGAACCCGCCTGATAGGTACGATACGAAGCGTGTTCTCGAGACTTGCTGCCACCTCTAGTCGTAATTACCAAGACTCTGGTAAACACAAAGGTCACAGAAGATTGACATATAGGCAGTGGAGGTGAAGTGGAAAGCATTCCCGCGTGGCGTTGAGACCGCGTGAACCATAGTGCTGAAGAATGCAGGCTTTATCCTTGATGGCGATCATGTCAGCCTGGGATCTGGACCCTTTGGAATGTCATTCTAATCTTCAAGCAAGAGGGCCAATTGTAAAAATGATAACAGTGCATAAGTACTATACCTACGTGGATTGGACCTCAAGTACATCGAACCCAGAGCAGTCAGCCTGACTGATGTTCGATTTGAACCAGAAAGCTTAGCTGAGGGTGACCAATGTTTTATTTTGCCTCAGAGACTAGGAAAGCACTTGGTGATGGTATGTACAGGTGCCAACAATACTAAACCACGTAAAATCATAACTTTGCTGTATCCGGTTAGCAAGCCTGCGACGGTTTGGACTTTTGCGGCAAGTCTCAAGCGCTGAATTCGAGGCAGATGCTACGTATCATGCCCACCGGAGCAAACGCACCAGAAAACCGAGATAACGAGTCTTCGATTGGGATGTAGGAACGTGTGTGATTATTGAATCTGCATGTATGAATCTAGCGAGTCTATCATATTTTGCCCACGTATAGTTTTGGGTTGGCATCACCACGCTTGCCTTACTAGCCTCCTCATCTTCTAGCTTCCAGAGGCTTGTGACTGTTTTTGTCTGCAAGTAGAAGTTCAAACCAGCCTTGCCGTAGAATGTGTTGACGCCACCGCCGGCGATGCTTGCCCTGTTTCCTGTGAAGCTGAGCATGGGCAGAGGCACTGGGATCGGAACGTTTATGCCAAGCTGTCCAGCCTCAACATTCTTCTGGAACCAAGAGGCAGCTGCTCCTGAGTTGGTAAAAAGAGCGACACCATTGCCGTAAGGATGGATTGTCGTTGACAAGTTGAGTAACTTCAGCCAAGGCCTCGGCCTCGAGACACACCAACACAGGCCCAAAGATCTCCTCCTTGTAGCACTTCATGTGAGGCTTGACGCCAGTAATGATCGTCGGACCCAAGAAGTTGCCATTATGATACTTGTCAGGGCGATAGCCGCGGCCATCCAGCACAATCTTAGCGCCTTCTTGTTCCGCACTCTCGATGAGAGCTTCTATCCGGGCAAGACTCTGAGGACTAATTACGAGGCCCAAGTCAGCGCCATCTTCGAAACCTCCATCAACCTTGAGCTGTTTTGCGTTTTCAACAAGGTCGTCAACCCAGGAATGCGTTTCACGACCAGTAAGAACCAGGGCAGAAAGTGCCATGCACCGCTGACCCGCTGCACCAAATGCAGCGCCGGAAATCGCATTGATGGTCCGTTGTTTGTTACTATCGGGTAGAACAACAGCATGATTTTTCGCGCCAAGATTGGCTTGCACTCTCTTCCCGTTGGCTGATCCACGAGTGTAGATGTATTCGCCAGCCTTGTTGCCACCGACAAAGCTGACAGCCTTGATTGCTGGCTCGTCGAGAATGAAGTTGACTGCGCGGTGCGTGCCGTGAATGATGTTGATAACACCGTCTGGGAAGCCAGCTTCCTTGGCTAGTTCTGCGAGAATCATAGCGGCGCCGGGATCTCTTTCGGATGGTTTGAGAACCAGAGTGTTGCCAGTAATCGTGGCAATTGGAATCGACCATAGCGGAATCATGGCAGGGAAGTCTGTCAAAAAATGAATATGTCAGTGATAGAACTGCAGACTAGACTCATCCATGAAACATGTTGTAGCTCAAGACATAGGGCTTAGATCTTACTGAAAGGGCAAATAGCAGCAACAACACCAAGAGGCTCGCGATAACTTCGTGTCTCCATATCCTTGGCTACCTCAAGGACATCGCCAGTAATCTGTGTAGTAATGCCACACGCCGTCTCAGCGACTTGTAAGCCGCGCAGAACGTCGCCTCGCGCATCAGCGAAAGTTTTGCCTTGTTCAAGCGTGATTGAAGCGGCAAGCCGATCTCAATATCTCCGAATCAAGTTTACGAAGTTGAACATGATTTGCTGGCGTTTCAGAATGCTCGTCGCCTTCCAACCTGGAAACGCGCGCTGGGCACTCTCGACCGCGGCCTTAAGTTCCTCATCCGTGCTCTCTGGTACGCGTGTCACGACGTTGTTTGTGGCTGGGTCGTGGACGTCAATCCAGTTACTGGCTGATGACGATTTGAAGGTGTTATCGATGAAGTTTTGCGTTCGTGAAGTGTTGGCGATCTTGATGTGGGAGGTAGGCCAGGACGAAAGTGTAGATGATGTTGTAGAAAGAGCTCTACGAGATGAGGCAACTGGAGAAGATAGCGCGATGAAGCTGCTTGGCTTAGTTGAGGCCACGCGGACGGCCGATGAAGCCCTGATACAACGCATTTCTTCCTAGAGAGATGAAAGACAAGCTTGGTGACAATATTGCACAAGTCAATGTCTGAACGTACGAATTCAACGAAATTTGGAGAGAAGAAGAGCTACTTCTAGATGAATCTCAAGCGGCGCATTAGAGAGACATCGTAGAAGTTGGACAAGGCAAGTGGGCTGTTTTGCATGCATGATTGACGGATTATCATCCCTACACACTTGCTCAAAATGATTCCTCTTAGCATCGGATGTGCTTCCGTGACGTTGATCGTAAGGTCTCGCCGAAAGTAGCCTCCGCGTTCTTGTTCGCGATGACTGCCAAATTTCTGGAGAGCTATACGTGCTGAATGTGCACATCGTGAATCGATCATCTTGGCACCCTGTCCCATATCAAGAGCTCATGCACACTAATCCCTGCAGCCGGAGAAATACCCCCCTTTCGATAGCCCAATTTGCAGACGCATCACGCGGGACAAGACACGTAAACTTGGAGGCAACACGAATCAAACCTCAAATGATTGATCGGTGCACCACTGCACGTATCGGGAAAGCCAGATTGGTTCTAAGTGTTGGTGTGAAGCAAAATGGTAACCTTCCCCGAGCTACCCCAAACTCACCCCAACCACACCGATAAGCGTGTTCCAGATTGGGGATTCTGAGCTTCTTGCCTAAAGCGGGCGGGAGCTTCACGTACGAATGCTTCAGATGCCATGTTCCATGGCGAGATCCAAAAAGTTGGGCTGAAGTCTGGTCTCCTGTTCGCTACCTCCTGTTCGCTAGCTGCGACCCCGATTTCGGGTTGCGGAGCTACTTGCCGAGGCAGGAAAGTCAGCAATCCAGGCTGACACTGACAGGACCAATTCCGATGGGCTTGTACACATAAGCCCACGAGCTCTCACTCGTAGCAGTCTTTCTTCACACTGAGCTATCCCCTTCGTCTTCTCCCAAACCGATTCCATGTCGAGTTGGTGCAATCGATCCTCAAAGCACACCCGACCAAGATAATCTCAGTTTCACTAGTCTTCAAAATGGCGAACCGCGGCGCAACATGGGACCCCGATGTCCACACCATCCGTGATCTGATGGTGTTGGGCAGCAAGAAGCTCCCCAAGATGTACAGGGACTACTACAACGAGGGCGCAATGGACCTCGTAACGTCAGTCGCCCGAAGTCATCTTGAGAGTATTCGAGAAATTGCTGACTCTTAATGTCATACAGACTGAAAGATAACGAAGAGGCATACAACCGATACAAGATCATGCCGCGTATTCTTGTCAATGTCGACAACATCGACATGTCTACCTCGATATTCGGAGCCAGGGTATGTAGATCGCATGATCGGGTACCTTAGAATGCTGCTTACGCTCTTTTGACAGGTTTCTTTTCCCCTGGGCTTCAGTCCCGCTGCGATGCACAAGATGGCACACCCAGAAGGCGAACTCGGAACGTCGCGTGCGGCAGCAAAGATGAACGTCTGCATGGCACTTTCTTCCTACGCCACCGAGTCGATGGAGAATGTCGCAGCTGAAGGCACCGGAAACCCATACGTGATGCAGTTGTGTGTGCTCAGGGACCGAGAAACCACTCTGCAAATCCTGAGGAGAGCTGAAGGTAGGCACATCATATGATCATACCTCTTTCAAGCATGGAGTCGAGGTGTTAACAAATCTTAACAGCATCTGGATACAAAGCCATCTTCCTCTCTGTCGATACCCCGCTGCTAGGCCGTCGACTGAACGAATACCGAAACAACTTTTGTCTACCCGAAGGCATCGAATGGCCCAACCTGTTGTCCGATGGAAAGAGCGAATTGAGCGGTGACGATAAGGACGGCCAGTCAGCAAACCGACATGACTTTGGTAAACCATTTTGCAGGCACACTCTCTTCGAATACATGACTGACAGCGACAATTCAGACCCTTCGCTTGACTGGGACTCGGCGATTCCCTGGCTCAAGAAGCACACCAAACTCCAACTATGGCTTAAGGGTGGTAAGTTGCCTATACTACTCGCACCTTCTGATGAATTGAAGCTTGCTGACGGATTTCCCTAATAGTCTACACCCCCGACGACGTCGCCCTTGCAATCCGACACGGCCTCGACGGTGTCATCATCTCGAATCACGGTGGCAGGCAGTTGGATGGTGTCCCCGCTACCCTAGATGCTCTGCGAATCTGCGCACCGGTGGCAGCTGGCAAGATTCCAATTGCGGTCGATGGTGGTATTCGTCGGGGCACCGACATCTTCAAGGCGCTCGCCCTCGGCGCGTCACATTGCTTTGTCGGAAGAATCCCCATTTGGGGGTTGGCCGTAAGCTTGGACATCCTTGCTCACGAGTGTCAAGGAACGTAGTGGCTGACAAGCATAATAGTACAACGGGCAAGAAGGTGTTGAGCTGGCGCTTAAAATCCTCCAGTATGAGCTCAAGGTTGCTATGGCTCTCGCAGGGTAAGTCGTTAGCCGCTGATCGAAGACCGCTGATCACAGCTAACTCATAATGTCAATAGAACTCGAACCATTTCTGAAATCTCGAGGGGTCACGTAGCATATCTGAACGGTAGCGGGGTGTTGGCGAAGCTCTAGATGGCACATGTTTGTTTTCGTAGCATTTGCATAGCGAATTAGCATTTCCCAAGATTGATTAACTTAACTAATCCTTGTAAAATATTAAGTATGCACGAGTATTTGGTGTCTCCAAATCAAGCCATATTAAGAATCGCCAAGGGGTTATTGAAGACACACAAATTGCGGCTTCAGTATGAGAACCAACGTCGAATATTTGAATTCTGGCCTACTGAGAAGTAGCATGCCTGAAACGACATCGTGCTCTAATCCGCAAACCACACATTTAGGCGGCTGCTCAACACAGTGAATTATCGCAACATTGATGATGTGACCGTGGACAGTGTGGTGACATGTGCAAAAGCCAACTGATTACCGCGCATATCTTCTGTCCTGTATGAACGTTTTTTGGCTTGAGCTTATCATTGATCAGGGGTCTATAACTGCCATACATAAATTCAAAGACCCTGATTCTCACAAGACCCTGAATAGAGAACCTAGTGGCCACTACCTACTCCGTGAGATGCAAGGGAACGCTCAAACCACTGATTGCTGGCCCAGGATTTGGATCCCGATAAGCAGCCCTGCCCATTGCGTCCGTAGCTTGGTCCTTCCGGTAATGGTATGAAGGACATGAACAATGCAAGCCAAGCCGGCCTTCGAAAGGAAGGCCTCCGCGACAGGATCCACTTTGCCGCCCGGACCTACCCCGCGCTATCTCAACCAAGATAGCGATTCTGGACAATTTCACCGCGGGGCATTATGGGTCCCCGGGACCGGAGCTGACCCCGTGGTGCCGTCCTCCTTCTCTCGATTCGAATTACCCCGCCATCCTGACACCCCTTTTCCAGAGCTATCATGAGGGGAAACAGTGACAAAAGAGGCAGGCCTGCTCGAAGTGGTCGTACATGTAGGTGTCGGAAGGGCTTCCGGCCGTTTCGTATTGTTACTAGAAGGTTTGCGCGTGTAGCTTCCTGCAATGTATGAAGTAAGAGAAGCCGGCGTGTGGTAGTCGCAATTTAACAGGTTTACATTAGAGAAATCGAGAAAGCTGTGAGGTATATGACGTTGGTATCCGAAGCTCAAGATCTCGGAATATTACCATCATAGTATCATCCAAGCTGCTTATACCTAACATCTTGCCTGGTCTTTCTTTAGCAAAGTTCAATTTGCAGTTCGCTGCACAACAACATTGATTACTTCCAATCCCCAAATATTCCAAGAAACTAAGAAACCTTCAAAATGGCAGCCAGCGACCTCAAAGGCGTCCTCGTCGCCCTAATCACCCCCTTCACCCCCGACCAAAAAGAAATCGACACCGCCGCCCTCGATGCACACATCCAGCGCATGATCGCCGCAGGCGTCCATGGGCTCGTTCCCGGCGGCAGCACCGGCGAATTCACAGCCCTCACCACCGAAGAGCGCAAAATCCTCGTCAAGCAGTCCGTCGACTCTGCAGCGGGCCGTGTCCCCGTCGTCGCTGGCATCGGCGACCTGTCCACCGCAAAGACCGTCGAGCACGCCATCTACGCTGCCTCCGTCGGCGCCAGCGCTCTGATGGTTGTCCCTCCGTTTTACGATGCGCCCAACTTGGAGCAGTTGAAGGAGCTGCTCAAGGAGATTCACGAGGAGTCAAAGTTGCCGATTATGTACTACAACATCCCGTCCGCCAGCGGCGTTTCGCTCTCTCCCGAGGAGATTGCTTCGCTATCCGAAGTTGGCGTCACGCATCTCAAGGATACATCCGGCAACGCGCCCGCTCTCACGGACATGCTCTTCACCGAAGCCACTTCGTCCAAGGTCACCGCCTTCAACGGTTGGGATACCCTCACATTTTACGGCCTCGCTGCAGGCGCAAAGGGCTCCGTGTGGGGCGCGACAAACATCATCCCCGAGCTATCTTCCCAGCTGTGGGAGGCGCTGGCGGAGAAGAAGGACTTGACCAAGGGCAGGGAACTGTGGGCCAAGATTTTCCCGATTTGCAAGTTTCTCGAGGCACCTGGCGACAACTACGGCGCGGCTGTGAAGACGGGAATGGAGTTGCGCGGGTGGAAGACGGGAGGTATGCGCAAGCCATTTAAGCTGCTTGAGGGCGAGAGGCGTAAGGAGCTTGCGCAGTTATTGAAGGATGCGGGCGTTGAGGTTGTCGCGTAGAGTGCTTTACTAGAAGATTGTTGGTATTCCTTTCACAGGGAATTTGGTTCGAACCGTAGGGTCCTGGGGGTGACGAAGTATCAATATCTCTGTATTGATTGATTCTGCGTAGGGAGTAAAAGGGAGATTCCAACCAGAGGTTGGGTGGGTAGTCGAGGTCTAAGTGTACCTCCTCGAGGTGACCCATGCTCTGCCCCTACTCGCGGTCGAATTGGACTTCCAATCCGACAAAGATAAATTGAACTAAACTTTTGACCTAATACTCTACATTGCATGCTGAAGACACCTGCCTACGATGTGCCTAATGTCACGACAGACCTCGATATGATTCAGATATGGTCGTCACAGAAATCGGCGCGCCGAATCTCCTGCACAGATCTTCTCCCAGTTAAATACATTGACGCAGCTTTACGGTGCAGCGGTTTGGTCAAGCCTCCTGGAACAAAGGATCGCACTGCAGGGAATGGGGATTGATGGTTGATAGTTGATGGTCGAAGTCGTATGACTCTCCTGAGAAAGGTTTGGTGCTCGAATTTACGAATATGTGAGATCTTCAACCGCTGTCGTTGTACATCGTTCATCATCTAAACCATGAAGTCTACTGATATACCTCATCACCTCGGAATAGTCTTCATTATATCCGGCCAGCTCAACGTCCAATCACCTGTCTCCGTTCTCTTGTCCCACACACTCTGAGCCAAAACACTAGGTTTATCGGTGCCAAATATCACGCCACTATTATCAATCGTCTGAAGCACTTTGAGGCCCCTCTCTTGTAAGTCAGGCGTCGTAGCCTCGCACGCGGCAATAAATGCTGCCCAACCGATGCTCGTCGCAAAGTCGTGATCGTCCGCTGTCTCTTCTAGACACGGCTGAATAAAGTCCAGTGTCTTGCGTACGGAGTCCTGAATTACCATTGCACTCATGTTGTAGACGCGACGGTAGAAGTAGATGATGAGCGCTTGATGCATTGCAAGTGTCAGGGATCTGATGAGGGGGTGGTCCACGAGCTTCGTCTCCTGGGTAACGAGTTCTCGTGGTCGGCTTGGTCCGCTCTGCATGTCTGATGAGCCGAGCGACCAGGACCAGATATTCTGCTCTAGCTGTTTGATGTGCCGTGACAAGGCCATGGAAATGCGGTGATCGTACATGGCCATGGCCTCCAACTTCGTCTTTTCATTGGCGAAGCTAATGGTTTGCGATAGCAGCGTCATCAGCGACTCTGGTACACCATAGATCTCTGGATACATCGTCACGGGCCAATGTCCAGAAACATCGAGATGGATATCCGCATAGCCGACCTCTGCGGGCTTCTCCCGCGACAGGTCGAGGTCGGCGCCTAGAGAGTCTTCTGCAATACGGAACTTGCGTAGCGAGACCGCCATCTCGGTTGCTGCCTGCGCTTGGGATTTCGCAGAGTCTATGGCAATGTCTGTGCTCTCTGCGATGACACGGAGGTGTGTATAGACGTGATGTAGGACACGGATGTTGAAGGATTTGGGCATCGCGAGGCCGCGGAGGCGGATGAGGCGTTCGGCGTCAAGGAGGAAGATCTTTACTGCACGAGAACCGTTGTATAGGACCTGAAGAACGTTAGTAGAGTTCAGAAGGTAGCGTTAGATCAAGGCGGAGTTACCGATACCATGGCTGTAGCAAGAATGGCCATAAGTATCTCGTTGTACTTGGCCTGACTTGCCTGATCAGACTCGCCCTGTAAAGCCATCTTAAGATGTGACTGGGCACTCTTTTGATAGTTCTGTCCAATATCTTGCCACTGTGTTGTTGGCTTTTGGCTTCCTTTGTTCGACGATTGGTGCATATGAAAAGCACTTTTTGCTAATAGTGTACACAAGATACTGTGTCGGGTATGCGAAGTGGTGTTCCAAAGAGACAGTTCGGCAAAGGTTTCCAGAGCGCAAGGGAGAAGCCAAAGCTGCCATGGTGATATCCTCATACCCTTGACCGACGATGATGATTCCATGGTTTTATAGTATCGTAAGAGGGAAGCGGCATGTGACGGCAAATATGGTTCGATACCCGGCATATTGTTAGTGAAAGGGCTCGGAGCTTTGCGCGAGATCGACAGGTCCTGCTCATCTGGAAGAGGACTGGTCGGTTTCAGTGTACGGTTCTGTTCTCTATCATGGTTCCGGTCTGGGGTATTTGTATCATCAGCAAGTCCAAGCTCAGTATGAGCCATTGCTGGTGTACGCGGCGATAAGGGAGAGAAGAGAAGATCCAGAGCGGAGTTGTCCATTGCCATCATATGAGACAAACTTCCCGTCCCTTCTCCGTGCATCCACGGCTGGCTCATGTTGTCGATCATGCCATCGGTGCTAAAATTGTCAAACGGCCCAGGCAAGAAGTATGGCTCCATGGCCAGCGAGTTGTCGTCAACAGACCAAGGCTCAATTACAACCTCCTCGATGTCTTCATCGAGCTCGCCAACAATTATCTCTGGCAAGGCATCAGAGGGCGAGGTATTAGGTGAGCTCTCAGAAACAGAATGCTGCAACGGCGAAGACCCAGTATCCGTAGAGCCGTCAAAGGCCCTGAACACGCCAAACGGGCCAGCTACATGCGCGTCGTCGGCGTGGACGCTCTTCTCGTCGAGATCAAGAACGATGTCCCCGGCAGACTGGTGCCCCATGCTGGTCACAATCTCGACACTCATCGTCTTCCTCTCCTTTTCGGTAAAAAGCGGGTACCGGTAGGATGTGCCGCGATGGGCATGCTTCTGCTCGGCGGAGCACAGGGGGTCCGGAACCCACAGGAGCTGGCCATCGTAACCCTCGCAGACAAGATTGAGGCGGCGGCAGGACGAGCATACTGGACGGGTCTCGTCACACTTGAGATGGCGACTCCTGCAGGTGCGGCAGCCTGTAAAGGTCCTCGAGCGAGGGACCTTCTTCGTTGGGCCGGCGCTGCTGGTCGTCGCCCTCGTCTTCGCTGTTGGCTTTCCTTTTGGGCGAGGCGGCTTTACCCCGGATTTGGACCCTCTGGTGACCGGACGGGCAGGCATTCTCGAGAATGACGCAGGGTATCTAAGTGCAAGGGCAATGAGAAAGCTGTTTGGGTGGATTTGGCACGTAGGAGATGATTGCAGTAGGGGATGAGAAACACATCAGGCTTGTGTTCCCGATGGGTCGATTCTCTCGTGCTCTTGCGTGACTTAAAGAGAAGCCAATGGGAGACACAAGACAACTTCGCCGTTACGTATGCATCGATATCGGCGGGATAGCTTTGATCAGCTGGGAGAAAGGGGTGTTGTTCATCATGCGTGGACAATTCGGCGTCGTTATCCGTAGATGCCAAGTGTAGTCAATCTTTGTTCCTGCCAAAATCATCTGGGAAGGTTTCCGCGACGTGAATCGGTACGTATCGGCGCTAACGGGGTGAAGACGCCAGGCCGATGGGATGCCGGTCTCTCCCCCTAGGATAATGCCGGATCGGTCACTAACATGAGCCTCGAGATTTAGTCATGGCTTTACCTTGACAGTATTGATAGACACATGACGCTCAGAGGAGAAAATTTGGGGATCTTATTTTCGTGTAAGCGGATGAGTAGTATTGTCTCTAGATTGTGATTGGGAATGCCTTCGCGAGAACCAAGATGGTCCGTGGCACCTGGCGTGTAAGTTGATGTTTGGACCTACTTGTTGGAGAATGAGACTATTTTATCGCCATTCTTCCGTCTCGAAAATCTGGCAGTACACGTAAATTGCACTACACAAAGTCACAATGGCATTCAGGCACCCAAGATCACTCGCACTGGTTGCCGCTGTCCGGCGGTGTCCTCGAAACGTCGCCGGCGTGAGGACATTCTCGGTTGCATCGTGCAATCGCGCAGCTGCCATCATCTCGGGCGAGCCTTCCTGGCCGAAGCTCGTGACATCCTCACTCCCAGGACCCAAAGTAAAGGATGTTCTTGCAGAGTTGGAGGAAGTCTTCGATACGAGAAGTGCAAACACCTTGGTCGACTACGAGAAGTCGACCGGCAACTAGTAAGTCGCATTGTCATGCTAGGAGCCTTACTTGTAGGAATTCGTTGGTGCTAACGTGTAACTCCTAAAGTTTCGTTGATGCCGATGGAAACACGTTCTTGGACGTGTAAGTGTTGCTACAATCTTCATCAACATCCGCAGCCCAGCACACAGCTAATCATGTCTAATTCATGCGTAGATTTGCCTAAATCGCCTCAATCCCTCTCGGGTACAACAACCCAGAACTCAACCGCGCCTCTATAAGCCCAGCCATGGTCCGCGCCATCGCCAGCCGGCTGGCTCTCGGGAGCTTCCCTTCAACAGACTACGCCGACCTCCTCAAGACCGGCATCCTGAAAGCCGCCCCGAAAGGCCTGACCAGGTCTTCACAGCAACCACCGGATCGGACGCAAACGAGACGGCATACAAGGCAGCCTGTATCTGGAAGGGGACCTGCGACCGGGGTGGCAGAGACTTCAGTGCTGCTGAGCTGGAGTCTGTCATGCTCAACCAGGCGCCAGGCGCGAAGAAGTATTCGATGATGTCGTTTTCAAAGGGGTTCCACGGCCGTCTTTTCGGTAGTCTGTCTACGACGAGGAGTAAGCCGATTCATAAGCTCGATGTGCCAGCTTTTGACTGGCCTGTCGCACCGTTCCCGCAGCTGAAGTACCCTCTCGACCAATTCGCGTCCGAGAATGCTGCTGAGGAGAAGAGGTGCCTTGAAGAAACGGAGCGTGTACTGGACGAGGCCAACGATACCGTTGCCGCAGTGGTGATCGAGCCTGTACAGGCCGAGGGCGGCGACAACCACGCGTCCCCCGCCTTCTTCCGTGGCCTTCGATAGCTTACCAAGCGTAAAGGCGTGTTAATGATCGTCGATGAAGTTCAAACAGGTGTTGGAGCCACAGGCAAATTCTGGGCCAACGAGCATTGGGACCTCCCGTCTCCGCCAGACATGGTCACTTTCTCGAAAAAGGCACAGGCGGCAGGTTTCTATTTTGGCGACGCCGGCCTACGACCCGACAAGCCCTACCGGCAGTTGAATACTTGGATGGGTGATCCCGTACGTGCGCTGCTGTTCAAGGCGATTTACGGAGAGATTGAGAAGCACGGATTGGTTGAGCATACGGCGCGGGTCGGCGGGTATCTGTACGGGGAGCTGGAGGCGCTGGCGGGTAAGTACCCGCAACATGTGTTGAACCTTCGTGGTAAGGATCGCGGGACGTTTATTGCGTGGGATTGTCCGCGGAGGGAAGAGGTCTTAGCCCTGGCTAAGTCAAATGGAGTGAATATGGGCGGTAGCGGTGATGCAGCTATCCGATTGCGGCCGATGTTGGTGTTTGAGAAGCATCATGGTAAGTTTTTACCCAGAGACTCGACAATCCTTGTATGAATGGAGACTGACTAACGATTTGTAGCCGATATTTTCCTCGAAGTACTGGAAGGGGTATTCAGGCGGCTATCATAGGCTCAAGCATTGTCAAGGACATGCCTTGAACAAGGATAAAACGATTGATCTATAAGCAAAATACACAAAGGACCGTTCTCGAAGATAGAATCATACATAAGCACGCCCTTCGGTGGGTCGTCTGGAGTCAAGATAGCTTCGCCAATTGGCAATTGGTGTCGATGATGAAAAAAAGCTGGAGTGACGAGATGGAGTAGCGCATTGTGTAATTCGTGGGCAGCTTGGCAGCTTCACAGCTCTCGTCCACGGGCAGAGATTGGTAATCTGTTCCAAGCTTCAACCCCTGTTTGGAAGGCCAGCGCGAGCTGGTTGAATGCGCTTTATAAACTTTCAGTCGATAACTCCTCGAATCTTCAAAGTCCCTATAGACAGTGCCAACTCTTCTTCGTCCACCTTCAGAACCCACCAGAAAGATTCCAGAACACAAAATAGCAGCATTCTGACACAATGGTCAACATCTTCCTGTAAGTCAACCGATGCTCAGCGGTGACAGGCGCCGTGTAAGTGCTCCGTGCTCACAGAAACGCCCTAGGACTGGAGCGACGGGCTACATTGGAGGCAGCGTCCTCTCACTGTTGGTCAAATCGCACCCCGAATACGCTGTGAGAGCGCTAGTTCGCGACAGTGCAAAGGGCAAGATCATTACTAGCGCCGTTAGCAAGGTCGAGATCGTCTTGGGCGACCTGGATGATGTCGAAACCATCACCCGGGAGGCTTCTAATGCCGATGTCGTTGTCCGTACGTTTCGGCACTTCTCCCATCCATTGGTATCATTTGTCGAATTCGCTAACACCCCGCGCCAGATCTGGCCGCATCTGGCCATTTGAAGAGCGTTGAGACCATCCATAAGGCTTTGTCGTCCAAATCGGCAGAGCAGAAGCCAGGTAAGACCATGTAGAATTTCCCTGGCTTTTTCACACCATCAGCGTTGTCATTCGTGCTAATATCCTGACGCAGCGCACTGGATCCAAATCTCCGGCGCCAGCGCTCTCGCCGCAGCAGAACTCGCCGACAAGTCTCGCAGCCCAGGCTCAGCGAGTGACCTCGTTTTTAACGACCTTACTGGCATCGCCGACCTCCGCTCCTTCATCCAAAAGTACCCAAGCCGCACCGTCGATAACTACCTCCTCAAGGTCGCCGCCGGCGAGCCAAAAGTCAACACGGCGCTGGTGTTCCCGCCTATCATCTATGGCCGGGGTCTCGGCCCCGTCAACCAGCGGAGCGTACAGACCCCATCGCTGGCGAAAGCCACGCTGGACCGGGGCCACGGGGTGCAGGTTGGCAAGGGCCTGAGCCGCTGGGGAAATGTGCACGTTGAGGACATTGCGCAGCTAATTGCCCAGCTTGTTGAGCGGGCAGCGGGGGGAAAGGGCGAGAATGAGGTTTGGAACGAGAACGGATTGTATCTCACTGGTGTTGGTGAAATTGTGAGTGAAGATGACTCTGGGTCCCTTATCCCCCTTCCTTTCCATCGGCTAATTGGTTCGATTCACAGCCGTTTGGCGATATCTCAAAATTGGTTGCGTCCGCCGCTGCGAAGAAGGGTCTCATTTCCAAGGATGAAGTGGAGGAAGTTGGCCCCGAAGAAGCAAACAGGGTGCTGCCTCACGGAACGGTGCTCTTTGGAACCAATGCTCGTAGCGAGGCACTTAGGGGCAAGAAGGTACTGGGGTGGGCACCAGCGGGTGAGAGTTTGGAGGAAGAGATCCCCAAGGCTGTGTCTTGGGAAGCCCCCGAGGTTCAGCACAGTGAGCTTAAGCTATGAGCACTTGATGGGCGGCCATAACTCGCGAAACATAAATCATGAATGAAATGAGTTTTCTATCTTACAGAGTCTCAAATCGAATCATCAAGTGAACGTCATGGGTTACTTCACGCGCCACCGGCCTAAAAGGGCGTTCTGCCATCGCCCTTCGATCCATTCCGTTAAGCCGGACTTCTTATCTCAATCCTCTGGTGAGGGCTAGAAGACCGATTTAGTTTCGAACTGAGGGATGAGTGCCTAAACAAGTGAACAAGCTCTCTGAATCGCAAGATATTAGTGGAGATTCAGCCCCTCATCCTCCGTTTCCTCTCCTAAAACTCACTGCGGCCCCCTCATTATGAGACCTAGATTCTATAAGGAAGGTCTCCCCGATCACTCTGAGCTCCACCACTCTGCCATGACTAATTCCAAGTGAGATCCAAAAGAGTCGAACATGCCAAATCGGTAAGAAGATCTCAGTCGCTTCGTGATCTAAAGAAGACGAGAGTCTCGGAGGCTCATGCCGGGAGGCCAGCCGAGGACTGACTTACGGAAACGCTGTCTTATTCCAGCTATCCCCCACTGCGGGGGAGGGGTAGCTTGGACCCCGCCTGGCAGGCCACGCCGATACTGAACAGATACAGCGTCACGGGCGGAATGAAGCTGCTCACGCGTTGAGGCCGAAGTCGCAGGCGTTTATCAGACGATAGTTCAGCTTGATAACGTATCTCAAGAAACTTGGCGGCTTACTCTATTGATTCTTTAATCGTCTTTTTGAACGTTGAAGACTCATCAGCTTCAAGAACCTCATCCTAAAAAGTTGTCACTCATCATCAGGCTCACTGAACTCCCGAGAGAAATCAATTCAGTCTCATTTCACATTTCACCGACAGAATGGGAGAGCTTTCCGTTGAGTTGACTGCGCCTAACGGCCAGAAGTGGACCCAGCCAACCGGCCTCTTCATCAACAACGAATTCGTTCCCTCATCCTCCGGACAGACCATTCCTGCTATTGATCCAGCGTGAGTAGTAGACTTCCGATTGCTTACTTTCCTTTGAGTGGAACGACTTGCTCACCTTCTACTGGTATTTAGAACCGAAGAAGAAATCGCACGAGTTCACGCAGCCACTGAAGAAGATGTCGACAAAGCCGTCAAGGCCGCCGCTGCGGCACTGAAGAATCCCTCATGGAAAGAGCTGTCGGCCTCAGACAGAGGCATTCTCATGGCCCGTCTTGCGGACTTGATGGAGTCGAATAAGGAATTGCTCGCAACCATCGACGCTTGGGATAACGGTAAGAAATCCTCAGGCCTTCCACCTGGCCCCAAGTCAACAGCTAGTCGATCACAATTGTGACAATCTACACATACAGGCAAGACATATCAAGAGGCATTGACAAACGACATGGTCGAGGCCGTCGGAGTTATCCGCTACTACAGCGGCTGGTGCGACAAGATCTTTGGCCAGACCATCAGCCTGCCAAACAAGTTCGCCTACACCGTCCGCCAACCCGTTGGGGTTGTAGGTCAAATCATTCCATGGAACTACCCAATTTCAATGGCAACGTAAGACAGTTCCTGCCATGAGAGGCTCGAGTGCACTCTGCTGACTTGTCAACCGCAACACAGATGGAAGCTCGGACCTGCGCTAGCCTGCGGCAACACCGTTGTTCTCAAGGCCGCTGAACAGACACCCCTTAGCATTCTCGTCTTTGGCCGTCTCATCAAGGAGGCCGGCTTCCCACCAGGCGTCGTGAACTTCATCAATGGTCTGGGTAAAGATGCCGGCGCAGCCCTCGTCTCCCACCAATTGGTCGACAAGGTCGCGTTCACGGGATCAACAGCGACTGCAACCAACATTATGAAGATGGCTTCGGCCACACTAAAGAACATTACCCTTGAGACGGGCGGCAAATCCCCTTTGTTGGTCTTCAACGACGCGGATCTCGAGCAGGCAGTTCGGTGGTCGCACATGGGCATCATGTCCAACCAAGGGCAAATCTGCACAGCCACGTCGCGGATTTTGGTACAGCAGGACATTTACGATAACTTTGTTGCGAAATTCATTGACGAGGTCCACAAGACGAGTAAAGTCGGTAACCAGTGGGATGCCGAGACTTACCAGGGCCCGCAAGTCTCGAAGCAACAATACGACCGCATCATGTCCTACTTCCAAATCGGTCGCGACGGGGGCGCTACAATCAAGACGGGCGGCGAAAGGCCTGCACATCTGGGCGATAAGGGGTACTACGTCGCGCCGACTGTTTTCACGGATGTGAAGAGCAACATGAAGATCTGGCGCGAGGAAATCTTCGGCCCCGTCGTCGTGATTCAAAAGTTTAGCGATGAGGCCGAGGCGGTGGAGATTGCCAATGCCAGCGTCTATGGCCTCGGCGCCGCAGTCTTCACGACGAACTTGGAAAAGGCGCATCGCGTGGCTGCTGAAATCGAGGCGGGCATGGTTTGGGTGAATAGCACACAGGACTGTGATCCTAGGGTCCCTTTTGGCGGCGTGAAGCAGAGCGGTATCGGGCGGGAGCTTGGTGAAGCTGGACTTGAGGCGTACAGCCAGATCAAGGCGGTTCATGTGAATATGGGCAACAAGCTCTAGATATTTGAAACATCATCACATCCTAATGCCTCGGAAGACATTGCAACTATCGTGGGGTTTGCATGGAAGATGACGCGATTCAGAAGGGGACTTGTCCCAGTCACTTTAGTAATAATCCCCGCATAATCTCTCCCTGGACAGTGAGACCTTACGTAAACAATCTCACCGATCTCCGAGCGCGGTCATCGGTCTTCCGCCTACGTAGCTCTAGATAAATGAGCAATGACTGAATCGCGGGGTCCCAGCGCTGCCCCTCGCAGTTTTGGTGTTTTGATGAACGGTTCGCAACACTGAGGCATGTTCACTAGAAGCCGCAATTTTTCTCCAGAGGACCCTCTGCAGCAATCTTAAATCCTTTGACTTGCGTCAAAAGTTTCAGCCAGAGCTTTCCAATGGCTCAGAACGACGAGCGTGCCGCTGATGGTGAGTCGCCAGCGCGAGCGGACTATAATCCCACAGAGTCCATAGCTTGTGTTTTACTAAGAGCTGCTCATTTCTGACTTGATATAGGCAAACCGGTCAACTTTGGCCTGGTACTCTTCCCAGCCTTCCAGTCTCTCGACGTCTTCGGGCCCCTAGACGCCCTCAACATGCTATCTGGGTCATACAGAATGAACCTCTACACCATTGCAGATACCTTGGACCCCGTGCCAACGAGGGTCAAGGACGCCAACCACATCTCAAATTTCTGCGAGAGCATCGTCCCAACACACACATTCCAGACCGCTCCGCCCGTTGACGTGCTCATCGTCCCTGGCGGACAAGGGACCCGGAACCCGGGCATCAGCACCGCGATCGACTTTGTCAAGGAGCGCTTCGACTCGCTGCAGTATCTACTGACCGTCTGCACCGGTGCCGGGGTTGCTGCCCGAGCTGGCGTGCTGGATGGGAGGAGAGCGACGACGAATAAGCTCTCGTGGGACCAGACGGTTGCGCTGCGGCCGCAGGTCGACTGGGTTCACAAGGCGCGGTGGGTGCAGGACGGGAATGTCTGGACGTCCTCAGGTATCAGTGCTGGCATCGATTTGGCGTTTGCATGGATTGGGGCCGTGTATGGGAAGGATGTTGCGAAGAATATCGCCAACAGAATGGAGTATACGCCTGTTGAGGATCCAAGCTGGGATCCGTTTGCTGACTTGTGGGGGTCATCAAAGTAAGGTGTGTAGATACATATGATGTTCACAGACCGGTATTGTGCAAGCCATTTGGAAAGACTCTGGTGTTTGTATGCTTTTCTACATCTTTCTTCGGGTGACTGATGCTCTGTTTGTAGTCGTCTTCGAGGCCAACCAAAGCCTGAAAGGTGTACTTAACTGAACTGAGGCGATTTAAGTCGATGTTGAGTCCCGGACATCCCAGACTTTCCGGCCTCCGAACCAAGTCTCTTCCACTTGAGCCTGCAATATGCTCTTCTCGTCCCACTTCATATCGACCACAATGAAATCAGCGCACTTCCCAGCTGCAAGACTCCCTGTACGCTCCTCGTCAAACACACTGCTAGCAGCGCCCCAAGTAGCGGCTGTAACAGACTCATAGAATCCAAGTCGGAAGTGCTCGTTGAAAGTCCCAGTGAAAGTTAGATCCCTTGCAGACCGCCTCATAGCCGCAACGTACAGATTCTCCATCGGTGCCCACGGCGAAGTTGGACTATCGCTGCCGATAGCCATCAAGACCCCTGAGTCAGCGAATTCTCGGTAGGCGAATGCCCGATGACAGCGGTCTTTTCCAATCAAGCGGGGTCATTCTGTGAGAACGGCTGGGTCTGAATGGACTGGTTGGATAGAGGCTGTGAGACCCAATCTACCTAGACGAGCTGCGTCTTCTGGTGACGCGAGTTCCAGATGTTCGATGCGATGGCGGCGGCCAGCGGTGGTGTGCTTCTCGATGGCGTCGATTGCCATTCTAACCGCGGCATCTCCAATGGCATGTAGTGCGACCTGGAGACAACCGTCATTTGCTTCCTTGACAACGGGTTCCAGATACTCTGGTGCCCAAATCGGTGGGGGCTTCCCTGCGGGTGCGTACGGTTCCGAGAGAAACGCCGTGCAGGCGTCGATAATGCCATCGCAAATCACCTTGATACCGACAATCCGGAAGTCCGGGCTAGTAGTGGAGTTTTAAGCCCGGCTTAGCTCAATAGCGCGGCGAACTTGACGAGAGTTGGCCTCTTGATCCGTTGTTGGCTTGATCAGCCAGTACGCAGCCACACGGATCGGGATATCGGGCTGGGTATCTCGAAGGGTGATGATTGCGTCCCAGGCCTCCTCGTCCATTGCCATCTCCACCACGCCCGTGTATCCTGCTGCGTTGTAATCCTTTACTGCAGCGACAATGGCTTTGATGCGCTCTTCTTTGGGGGATGATGAGGCCTGGTACGGCCAGATGATGGACATCATTGCCCCTTCGTCAAGAACACCAGAGGGGTTCCCGTGTTCATCGCGATGAATGCGTCCGCCTGCTGGATCCGGCATGTCGGCGACCCCAAGTTCTTTCAAAGCTGCGGTGTTACACCAAGATGAGTGTAGCGAACTCGCATCGACAAATATAGGGCGTGGATCAATGTCATCGAGTGTTGGTATTCCTTTCACAGGGAATTTGGTTCGAACCGTAGGGTCCTGGGGGTGACGAAGTATCAATATCTCTGTATTGATTGATTCTGCGTAAGGAGTAAAAGGGAGATTCCAACCGGAGGTTGGGTGGGTAGTCGAGGTCTAATTGTACTCCGTCGAGGTGGCCCATGCTCTGCCCTTACTCGCGGTCGAATTGGACTTCCAATCCGACATCGAGTAAAGCGGCCGAGACCCCGTTCGGAGTCATTGAATACCTCCATCCTTTGCAGAGGATTGTTGGAAGACTAGGGTTTGCCTTTGCGTACGATTTGATGCTCGATCGGATGTCGTTCAGCGTCTTGCAATTTGACAAGTCGAGTTTCCGAAGAGACTGTCCTAGCAGGAGGAGGTGCATGTGGCCGTCAATGAAGCCTGGAAGGACTGTTCGCTGCTGCAAATCATGAACCTGGAACCCTGTCAAGTCTGCTGGTTCTATTTCTTTCCGAATTCCAATAGCAGCGATTTTTTTCTCTATCACCAAGAGACTGTCGACGAATATTGCCTCGGCGTTGAGTCCAGTTCCAGCTCTCGCGAGGACTCTACCATTGTGAATATTCCTGCAGTAGACATTACAATGGCGCAAAAACTTGCAATTCCGAATCAAGTTGGAGGAAGATTACAACTGCTGCTTTTACTTAAGAAGATTTATCTCTGTGGGTTGTGTTACCTAGTGAGCGCTCAAAACTGCCGATGACAACGTACTTAGATGAGGCTTGTGAGGAGTAGCTTTCCAACGTTTACCCCTTGACTGCAAAGCTGCGTGTGAGTTAATTTTGATTCTGGCGAAAACTACTTTGAAGTCGCAGCACGTGTTCGGAACCTTTGCTAATACTTGTACACTTAGCCAAGCCTTAAGTGCTCAATAATACTTATCTTGAGTCACTAATGCTTCCGAGAAAAGATCTTGTCAACGGAAGTCTAAGTGGGCTTCCCATTACTTAGCGCTCGTTACGAGTTTACTTCCCAGTACACCCATCTCTCGTGCCCCATTCTAGCTCCCGAACAGTCAAAAAGCGGGGCGACACCTCTCCTCGAGTTTCCTTCCCAGTCAACCCAGATAGCATCGTACATAGCGCGGTTAGACGGAGACCGCGCTTCGTTGGCTTCCACAATTGGCTTTCTTGCCCTCATCACCCCAACCCATCGTCGCCCTCGATTCAGGCTTATCGATGGTCCTCTCTATATTTGAGTAGTGCTTGTGGCCTGCTACTCGGTATATCGACTTTCTACCTGCACTGGGCAGTGGAGCTGTTTGAGCCGGCGTTTTGAGCAGTCAGGAAATGAAGCTCGGGGCACATGAGAAGGCGCCATTGAGGAGGCCGAGTCCGTCCATAGAGCGAATGAAGCGGAATTGTGCGAAAAGGGAAGAAGCAGAAAATATAGGGAGAAGATTGAAAAAGTCGCTCAAGTCAATTCCAGAGAAATCCACGATCAATCCCAGCTTATATGCAATTCGTCAAGTCACTTTGGTCGATCTCCCGGCCACGTGAACGCGACCTAAGGTCGCAGGTGCGGGGTCGTCACCAACTGATTTGCAAGCACCCCAGTGCCGTCATTCCGGCATTTACATGCAGGCTTCAAGTCTCAAAGACAGTTGTGTCACGCACGTAGAAAGGCTGGACAATACCTTCCACAGCAGACGATTTCTTGATACCATTTCCGGAACATGTATCAGTCCCAGATCACATATACCTTGGATACGGTTTGTCCCTGGTGAGTGTTTTGGTTTCCGTCAGATTCGACTTTGATATTTGACAACGAGTGGAAGTTAACTCCCCGGGGGAAGGACCTATATTGCTAAGAAGAGGTATGAGGGGCGCAATCATGGACGCAAAACCATTTCAATCTAACAGAAGGTAGATTGGCGGAGGCTCTTGAACAAATCGCGGCTAGCCCCAATGGCAAAGATGTCTCCTTCACCTTGGTCTTCCGTCCGTACCAGCTCTACCCGGACTTCCCATCAGAGCCGCAGAATAAGCGACACTGGTACACGACAGCCAAGCACGACGCATCCGATCAGAAGCAGGAAGTTTTCGAAGCGACAATGGAGGCCCTCGGATCCGCAGCCGGCATCAACTTCTCCTTTGGCGGCACCATGTCCAACACGTTTCCATCGCATCGGATCATCCAGCATTTTCAGGAAGCCAAGGGTGCAGAGACTGCGAATAAACTAGTCGATGCGCTGTATAATCGCTACTTTGAACGCGAGCAGGATCAAAACTCGAAGGACGTGCTGGTTGAGGCCTGCGTCGAAGTCGGTATCCCGGAGACGGAGGCAAGGGCAGTCGTGGATGATGAGAGTGAGGGGAAGATGGAAGCTAGAAACATGATCCGGATAGCAGCCATGGATGGTCTTGATTCTGTGCCGTATATCATGTTCGAGGGCCGTCGGAGAGATCTCACTCTCATCGGGGCCAAGGAGATTGATGAGTATGTCAAGGCTTTGCAGACGATTATCAAGGAGAGCAAGTAAGGGTACTGTATGTAGTATTATGACTTCTGTTTGGTTCATAGTGTGCAGGCAGCTACCCAAGATAACTTTGGCCTTTGGTTCCATTTTGGTCGAGATATTGTCCTAGTATCGCTCCAAGATCCACTGTCGGCGGTCATCACTGCTGATTGCCTCCAGGTTCTTCATCTCCTCCTCCTTGACTGTGATGTACCTCTCCACCAAGTCCTCACCAAGCAACTCATTCATTACATCGTCCGCGCGGAGAGCTTTAAGCGCCTCGGGTAGACATGAAGGAAGCATCTGCTCGACGCCCAGCTCCTTTCGGTCGTTCGGCGTCAAAGACGCAGGGTCAACCTCGCAATCACCCCAGGTCATCTTTTCGCTTTCGATGACGCCATTTGTACCCGCGCCCAGGAGCGCAGCGAGTGCGAGGTACGGGTTCGCGATGCCGTCCATGCATTTGACCTCCCAGTGGCTGCTCTCGATCTTGCGCAGCGGTGTCTCTCTGTTCTGAGTACCCCATGTTACCCAGCGACCGCCGGCCCAGCAACCGTCTTGGACTCTCTCGTAGCTGACCGGGTTGCTATATGTGAAGGCCGTGATAGCGCGAAGGTGCCTCAAGATACCGGCGTAGAAGGGGCTGTACGTCTCCGGCTTGGACCCTCCAGCGGAGGAAATTGACATATGGACATGAGCCGCGGTGCCGCAGGCTGTTGGGTACGGCTTAGGGTGAAGAGTCATTCTGTAACCTTCGGCAGCGGCGATACCTGAGATAACCTCACGGACGTAAAGCAACGTGTCGACTGCTTCGAGGGGAGGGGCCTGCGGAAGAATGACTTCGAACTGGCCAACCGCACTCTCAGGGTGCACTTGTTCAATGTAGATGCCGTCTGCGTCTAGCTCAGCAACAGCTTTCTCGATGACTTTGGAAAAGACAGGGTGGTCCATCATGCGTGAGGTAGACCATGCGTGTCCGTCGTTGCTCAGAGTTTTGTACTTCTCGAAGGAGCTATCGACGCGCTCGAGAAGAACTAGCTCAATTTCGAACCCGAGACTGAAGGTCAATCCATGTCGAGCAGCGATTTCGATCACCCTTTGCAGCAAAGATCGCGGGCAGAAGGGTACAGCAGATCCGTCGTACTCCCTGAAATCGCCAAAGACGCTGATATGACCCTCCCTGGGACCCTCCTGAAGTGAGGTGAAGTCGGGATGCAGGCGGTACTCTCCTGTGCCGGATACCCCTGGGACCACGTGGTCGTTCTGCAAGAGCCCAAGACTTGCTTTGGTGATACTGATGGAGAAGTCCCCATCTTCGTTCATCACAGACAGAACCTTGCGCATTGGTATCGCGCGAACTCGTGGTGTTGCTGTCAGGTCGTTCCAGTAGATGCGGAGGTACTGAGGGGGCTTCTTTCCATCCAGAAAAGCTTCTAGGATATCGAGATCGCTTCTCCCTGACAGCCTCCTTGGGTTCGCAATGGTTTCATCGAAGCTAAACTCTAGGCCCAGGTGGTACACGCGATTAGAGTTGTTGAAGAGAATGTCTTTGACCAGCTGAGTTGCTTCCCGCCAAGTCATGTGCCCTTTGCGGGCATATTCGGATAGAACCTGGATGTTGTTAGCCTTGGCGGGAAGAAGCACATGATGTCACTAACCTTTTCTAGTACCTCCCTCACTTGAAGGACGGCGAGAAGGTAGGTCTCCGGGAACCGATGCCCATCAGTGCTCCATAGTATCTTGGACCAGGGGCACAATTCTAGGACCTGGCGCACGGCGGTTTCCTGGCCGTCACGACTCAAGAAGGGGAAGATCTCGCCTATATCAGTGTAAACGTTGGCGTAGACACATGCCAGGTACCCGGCTTCTCTCATGAACGGGTAGCTGGCGTGCAGAAGCACGATGGGCACAGTAGGGTACTGGCGAATAAACTCTTGCAGGTGTGATGGGGATGCAGAAGTGAGGGTGATATCATTGTCGCCCAGGCCGGTGTGAAATTGAATCGGCTTCTTGCCAGAGCCTGAAGCATTCCTGATGAGACAAGCCAATCTGTGCACCAGGTACTCATTCAGCCCACGGTGATTGACACGATTAAAGGCCTTGTCGGTCCCTTTCGTATGTTCCTCATGGATCTCCTCGAAGACCTTGCGAGCCGCGGCAGCGTCCGGTCTCCTGGGAATTCCCAAACCAGTGCGGTAGCAAATAACAGACTTGAAGCCGACGACTTCTGGATCGGCTATAGCCTCCGCAATGCTGTGGTCAAATGCCTTCAATGCCTTTTCGAAGACAGACCCGGCGTCTTTGGCAGTTCTTGGGGCATTCTCATCCGTAGGGAGATGGTCATTGATAATGTCTGCCGCAATCTTCTCGATGCGCACAATCCTCTTCGCGGGGCTGCGGGTGAGATCGCTGAAGTACGTGTAAGGGTAGACCGCGTTTTCGCCATCTAAACCATCGTCGACCAGAACCGATTCAATCCCATTGAGACATTCCGCGACCCATGCATCGTAGTCCTCGATGCGTTTCGCCTCAATGGCATTCACAACGGCTTCCCAGCTCGGCTCGCATCGAAGGATCTTGGAGAGCTGTTTGACGGCACGTAGGTGGGCCAAGCTTGTCAATGAGGCGTGGATCGCATCGCCGTGAGCCTCGGTTGTAATTGAAAGAAGAGGATGACGGCCAATTGCGTCGAGATCAAGGAGCGGATGGGCATGGTTGTCGATGATGGGCGTTGTCTGAATGGTGTGGCTGAGGAGCGCCTGGCCAGTAAGCTTCGCGGGATCCATCTTCGCGGAGAAAGACAACCAGAGAGGTCAGGGTTGCAGCTAAGGTCGAAAAGGAATTCTGACAGCCTTTCAACCGCAAATCGATCGATGTAGCCCCCAGACGAGATGGATTTTGGCCTGGCGATTTGATTGTGTAGGTGTGAAGATGCAGCTGGCGGGAAAGGGAGAGAGGGGTAGGTAGGTGATCTTGCTGTGAAATGACGTGAGACCTTCTTATCGCTGCCGCTGCCGTGCTATGCCGATAGGGAGACTTAATTCAATGTCTTACAGCTTCGGAAACCCTCCCCTCCCTTTGGATAGATCGCGAGGGGAAACAACCCAGCCCCATTCCGCCTTATTCGCAGATCTAAACCAGCCGACGTCGCGGGCTGGAGCGTGCAGTGGTGTTCATCGGAGCAACAAGCTTTATACCCCGCAATAAGTTGATTAAGATGGGACACCCATGCCCCTCAGACTGCAGTATCCCATCGAGTGCGGATTAACGTCAAAAACGCCAAGGCCAGAACTACCCACTATTGTACCCACTCCTACTCCGCACTTTAATGAGTACATGACGAAACATTATTTGAACCTTTGTTTTCTTCCTTACTGTCACCACCAAAATTATCATCTTGTTCAATGCCGCGATGTCTTCTAGCGATTCCGATGCCTCCGGGGCTTCCGGACGGAGCTGTATTATGGTTGAGCTCCTTCCTGAAGACCTCGCCGTCGCTTGTATTGCCGATTATACGCCGGAGCGGTGCGATAATAGTATAGTCCGGCCTTACGAACCCCCGGCCATTGAATGCGGGCGGCCGGGTACCTTTAGACCCTTTGACGTACCCGCCCGGGGCCGAGGGATACGGGACCTACCGGCAGCCCCGCTTGACTTATTTCTTTAGTATGTCCTCCGGGACCTTGTTGAGTAGTGGGCGTAATGGACGAATACGGCGCCGTTATCTAAGGAAGGCCCCCGGGCTAAATGGTTAAGAGTGTATGAGTGGAGAAAGACCTCTGTAGAAGAGATTTACCTCTTTTTAGGAATCCTACTTTATATGGGGATTTATAATGAATCTCAAATATTAAGATACTAATCAACTTAATAATAAAAGGAGGATCCTATCTATCTATTTACCCGGTTTATCTCCCGGGACCGCTTCTAAAGTTTACTCCGGTAGCTATGTATCTTTAATACCTCTGATTCCCAGCCTAGCTAGTCAGGTTAACACTAAGCCCAAGCCGGGATGCTGGGTATATACCGGAAGGTTAAAGATTAGTCAGCCTATATTTAAGAGACTAGAAATTCCTTCTATATAGCCGGCTCTGACCTTACTGTTGATGAGGCTATGGTCCGGTTTATAGGCCGGTCCCTAGAGACGACAATAATACTAATAAAGCCGACCCTAACTAGCTTTAAGGTCTGGATTCTTGCCTAATTAGGCTACTGTCTACGATGGCTCTGGCATGTACGCGGCAAGGGCCCGTACGGACTAGTCCCTCAAGCCCGGCCAGTAGATAGTTAGGCTGGAGTAGCTATTATAATCCTATTAATACCAACGCAGCGTGTTGTAATAATACTTATTACCTTACTTCCAGCTGCAGTCCACCACGTGTTTCTAGATAATCTCTTTGCGTCTGTACGGCTTCTTCGGGCCCTCCGGAAGTAGCAAGTCGGAGCTTCTGGAACCTGCCGGAAAGACAGTGGGATAGATAAGATCCTTGTTACCGAGAAGGAAGTAGAAGGTCAAGGTATCTCTTGGGGGCAGGGAATTGATATACCGGCGTCGCAAATTGATACACCGGCGTCGACCTTACACCGGCGTCGCTGTTCGACCTTTTGATTGGCTCAAAAAAATATTGTTAGTGCAATCAAATTCTGCCAGATACCCACAAAGTATCTCAACCCTTTTTGTTCCTTTGCTCCCTTTCCTCTAAGGTTACATCATCAAGCCTCTAAGTCTAACTTATGCTATTTGCTTACAATGGCTTCTCTAACTGGAGTTAGAGATGTTCCAAAAGGCCAATCTCAAAGCAATACCCCTACTAATAAACCTCCCCCTATACGAGAGCGACTATTGTTTGAGTACGGCCTCCCACTATCATCTGGCCAACCACCATTATCTCCCTCCTCAGAAAGCAGCCGCCCTAGCGTTAGCCAATTCTATGGAGTTGGTGATCCTCAAGGGCAGCGCGACCTTATCACCGAGCTCCCAGCCGACATATTACAAGACACGCGACCTCTTGCATACGATTACCCTAGCATAGAGCCTATGTTATATCTTACTCGTCATTTCCCTAAAGGAACTGTTGGAATAGGCCTACATTAGGCAGCAGGAGGTTGCTGCCGCGGTCCGTTCCAGCCACGGTGGTCCGTGTGGCTCAGCCACACGAGGGTGGTATACCCCAGACTTCCTGCCGCCGCTGGCACCTGGTTAGACTTCCACTAAAGAACAACAAGAACAAGCAATATCACCACTACAGTCGGTGATCGTTGCTACCCACGATACTCGAGTATTTTCCTTTTCCACCTGTGAATCCAACAGTTACTTTTAACCTAGCTAAGTATAAGGCAGTCCACTTTAGCAGGAAACATAACCAGACAAAAGACCTACCAGATATACAAGCAAGGGGCCTAACTATTAAGGCCTTAACTAAGCCTGTACGATAGCTAGGAGTCTAGTTTAACAAGAGACTCACCTTCCGTCACCATATCGAAACTAAGGCGGCAGCAGCAAAGAAGGTAGCCCAGTTCCTTCGGCACCTAACAAATACTAAAAGGGGGCTCCCAGCAGCCGCAGTACGAAAAGCGGTTATTGCCTGTATCCTCCCAATAGCCTTATATAGAGCTAAGACCTGGTATACGGGCCTAACCAAACCAGCCCTGAACAGCGGCACTAATACTAGCAGTAGTACTACTTTACGGATATCTATAGTTAGCACAGGACAGAAGGGCCTGGCCCGTAGAGTTAGCAAAGTTATTACAGCAGCAGCAAGGGCTATCCTGCCTATCTGGAGAACCACACCAAACAGTAGCCTCATCCGAGACGCTAGCCTTCCTATAGCAGAGGTAGCCCTCGAAGCAGCGCGACTACGCTTCGCTATACGCCTACAGAAGGTTGACCAACAGCATCCCTTGGTCCCAAGGCTGCTGCAGCCAGGGCGGCAACAGACCAGACTTCAAAGAACAGCTGGCCTCTTACCTAAGTGTCCAAGGCCACCACTCCTATAACCGCAATACCTCCCAGGGTCTTATAACCTTATAGTTACTCAGACGAAGGAAGTAGCAGCTAGGATTTTCCAGGCCTGGCTTAAGACTATGCTAGGCAAGTATATAGTCGTATATTTAGACGGCTCTAAAGCCCCTGACGGGGCTATAGGGTTCGGTTTTGTTATTTACCGTAATAATAAACGTATAGCCTAGGGCTGCGGCCGTCTTGGCTTAGCAGAAGTGTTTGATGGCGAGGCTGAGGGGGCGAGGGCTGGGCTCCGACGGGCCCTTCAGACCTCCCAAAGCTAGCCTATACACATCTATATCAATAATACCAGCGTTATTCAGGGGATTCGCGGTAAGGTCCCAGACTCCTCACAAGCGGCCTTCCTTAAGATCCAGGAGGTAACCAGGATACACGATATACGAACCCATTAATCTCCTAGGCACCAAGGCATCAAAGAAAATAAAGAAGCAGACAACCTAGCTAAGGAGGGCACAACCCTACTAGTCCCAAGGGGACAGCTAGCAACTCTATCAGGGATCAAGCGGCTTACTAAGGAGCATACACGTCGCCAATATAAAAAATAATAAAAACAGGAAGCAACATCCTATTATACCCAGCTAAAGCTCAAGGCTACCCTTACTTACGCCCCCGAACTAGCCTTACCGCAGGCTATCCTTCATCATCTCTTAGCAGCCCGATCAGGCCATAAAGACTTTAAACAATACCACCAACGCTTTAACTATACAAAAGCACTACTTACCTACTCTTGCGGGGAAGTAAAAGCGGTAGACTATCTAGTCTACTACCAAAAGACCCTAATAAGAAGGCATCAGTAGCCTACCCTCTACCCTTCTAACCTACTCGATCCTATAGGACCTATAAGATCCCTTAAGCGGTACTATAAGGGGTTAATTACTAATCCTATTAACTTCCAGGCCTTTCTCCGCATAATAAACTTCTTTCAAAAGATCTACCCGCGGTACTAAGGACTAGGTCTTAACCTAGGCCCGACTAACGAATCTCTCCTCCTAGAGGGATAGACGGTAACAACGGAGCTAGGGAACCAGCGGGAACTAGGGACGGATAGAACAGACAGTAGCCCACGGGCAAGATTTGGAGGACGTTAGGAAGAGGCGTGTACTATAGAGTATATAGCTCGAGCCTACGGCCCTCCACGCCATATACCCCTCGGGAGGTCGGCCGCAAGGGCGGCAGCGCCTTTGCCGCCACGGCGTTAAATACAACAACAACAACAACAACAACAACGACAAAAATCTCGACTCTTCAAGACGCAAAATCAATCGACATTACGGCACGCTGAGTGGCTGAGAACACACTACCGAAACCCACATAAAAGTTCATAATCCTCAAGACCGTTGACCTTAAGATAGTCGACTATTTACGAATACATGTGTTCAGAAGTTCACAGCTACAGGTGAGTCGCTAGGCAAAATAGTGGCTGGCATACCCTAGTTCCAGTTCAACATGCCTCCCTCACCGAAAGCAAAGTCATTCTCTATCTGTGCGACTAGGAATTGATTCGCTTCTTCGGCGGACCATGACCATGGAGGTTCCGATGACAATAGAGTGCCGAGTCCATATTCCCCATCGTGTTCAGCCGCCCCTTGATCGAGGTTGTTCACCATCATCGAACCCGTCCTGACGTCCTGCGCACTGTCAAGTCCAGATGCGAAAGATAGGTCATCTTGCATCCGTAGTCGTGCCGCCGTAGATCGATCTAGGTATTGGAAAAACAACTGTAGGACCCACATTCTGACCTCCCAGGTTTTCTGGAGCTCTTGCAACCCCAAAAGACACATCTTTGCCCTGTTCTCGGTGATGGATCTCACCGCGCCATTTGAAGAGCGAAGATGGACCGTGTGTATACAAAGCGTATTAAAGAGGTTTGTAATGGCATGGATCTGCCCATGACGTAGATTTCCCTCCAGTAGCATATCCTCGATGATGCGGGAGTTCCTTGCTGCGGCCTGAAGGGCGATCTGCCCATTCACTTCTTTACTCTCTTCTGCGGTGCCAATGCAACCTGATCTGTACAACAGGATGAGGAGGTTGTTGTAGGCCAGGTGCAACATACTTGCATAAAAGCCCGCCGCATCGCCAAAGTCATTGTTTGCCAACGACATGACTGCAGGTAACTGCTGTCTCCATCTCACAAGGTCGTCTCTCATTTGAGACCGATCGGTCGGGGATAGTGACTTGCTGGGGAGGTATCCGCTATGCACAATCCTTCCAAGCACTCTGGAGAGTTGAGCTGTGCCGATGAAGTATGAGATGTACTCTTGTACTTTTTGATTCGGCAAACTTGAGTCGAAGGCGCGTTCAAAGTCAAGTTCCCCCAGCGGCTCGATGTCGCAATCTTCATCTCGAATCCTATTCGGTAGGCCCAATGCTGCGGCACACTGTCTTTCGCGGACGTATATGGCCCACCACAAGCGCCTAGAAAGTCGTTCAGTCTTCTTCTCGGTGGTAGCAGATCTCGAGGAGCGGTGAAGCGCCTTTGTCTGAGCAAGACTGATGGCTGCGCCAAGCCAATGCCGGGCGTCTTTCTCCAGGAGCAAGCCGGCCCTCCAAAAACTCATCAGAAATAGAGCTTGGGTGACGGTGAATTTCTTTGATTCAAATTCGACATCGTAAATGTCCTTTGCGCGATTGTAGAATACCCACTTGGCAACGTGACGGCCTCCCAGGCCGATGGCTGGTAGGGCGTCTTCCTCGCAGTGGATGACGGCTATAAAGAGGATCGCGTGTAGTAGCAGAGGAGACAAAGTGCCATCTCTGAAGCTCACCCAGACATCTATCTCATCCACGACAGGAAAACATGGGTGAAACCATTGAAAGTAGGCCTTAAGTAACGTCTCGACCGCTGGCGCAGGTGGGAATGAAAAGACGCCCTCTGCTCTGAGAGAACGAATCCTCGACCTTCTGCGTTCGACTTCCCAATCAGGCAGCAAATTTTCAGCTCTTACAGCGTGAGGAACGGCATGTAGGAACCTCAAGTTCTCTGGTGGTGATATACCTGCTGTTGGCGGCGTTGGGTTGTTGTTGGTGACATAACGTATTGAAGACGACTCGCCGAGGAAGACCGAGCTATCATCTTCTTGCCTATTGTTTGGTGCCAATGCAGGCGACTGAGGCTGTACTGTGATGATTTGCTGATCTTCCAAACCTTCTACTTCCCGGGGTCTTGCGAGATCAGCAAGTGCTTGAGATGCGGCAAAGTGCTCGTCACTCTCAGTTACCACCGACTCATCACCAAGACCTGTGTCGATGAAAGACGGCGAGGATCCGGTCTGATTTAGCCCGGCTTGGTTGTCTGGCTTTGCGTTTCGCCGTGATGTGCGAGGATGCTTGCCCCGTCTCGACTCGCGTAGTTCACAAGGCGTGTCGGCTGTCGTACAATTGCGACAAGGTCTTTGCTCGGTTACATTGCATTTGACGCGTCGCGCATTGCAGGCCTGACATGCCTGGCGGGCTCGCCTGCGGAGGTTTGTCATAGCCGCCTGCCGAGGGCCAGCATTTCTTTCCAGGCGCGAGGGAATCTAGCAGTGGAGGGTTGTGAGGTATAACACCATACTTTTCTTTTGTCTAAATCCAGTTGTCCCATGAAGTTTCCGACAGCTTGTGGGATATCAGGGAATCTTGGTAATGAAGTGAGCGGGGCGTCATGCAGCCGAACCTGATCATTTGGTATTACCGAATGCGGGGATCCCTGATGCGCCAATGACATCACCCTGGCAGCTATTCGGCTATATGGAGTCATATAACCGATTCAATGTTCATTCTCCAGACACCATCCATGCTTGCACCAATTTAATTGTTGACTCTCATCCAACTCTACCCTAGGTCGTGCGCCAATAGGCAGAATACCTTCAGCCTTGTTAAAAACAGAGTTAAGGGAGTTTGCAGGGCAACATGGCAACGAAATTATTTCCCCTACTCAATTGCTTGCCTCCGAAACTCCCCGTTCCCAGACTCGCCAAAGCATTTTCATCAACAGCCGGGAAACGGGGTACATACGAAAGTACCATTGCCAATCTGAGCATTGATCAGAATACAAGAGTGATATATCAAGGTAAGCAAAGTGATAACGGGCCAATGCAATGAGTTACTTTCACACTCTGGAATCTCGCTAACCTTTCAATGCCTTCATCAGGATTTACTGGTAAAGTAGTGCGTGGCATGCATCGGCGAAATCGTTATGGCTTCTGTTACCTGTGTGACTGACCGATACTAGGCCACCAAAAATGCAAAAGACACGATAGAATACGGTACTCGAGTTGTCGGGGGTGTCTCTCCTGGCAAGGGCGGTCAGGATCACCTCGGCCTCCCTGTATTTGGCACAGTAAAAGAAGTATGACACTCAACATTTTCTAAACTATGAGCTATAGCTAACGAAGTGATGTCTACAGGCCGTAAAGATTGTGAAGCCACATGCAAGCGCTGTCTTTGTTCCCGCTCAATTTGCAGCAGGGGCTATCATCGAAGCAATAGAAGCTGAGATTCCGCTCGTCGTTTCAGTTGCCGAACATGTGCCCCTTCACGACATGGCTAGGGTTCAAGAGATTCTCCGAACACAGAGTAAAACGCGGCTTGTGGGGCCCAATTGCCCCGGAATCATCGCTCCTGACCAATGTCGCATTGGTATCATGCCATACAAGCAGTACAAAAAGGGTGTTGTTGGGATTGTGTCCAAGAGTGGAACACTCAGTTACGAAGCTGTAGGGGCTACAAGCAAAGCTGGTCTAGGACAGAGTACCGTTGTCGGAATGGGAGGTGATATGATGCCAGGTGAGTGGAAAACCCTCCAACACACCCTTGAATGTGTTCTGATCTGCTGTTCAAGGTACCACACTTTTGGATGGGCTCAAATTGTTCTTTGCGCATGAAAATACCAAGGGTATCATCGTCATTGGCGAGATCGGTGGCGAAGCTGAGCTGAGAGCAGCGGAAGCCATAAGAGACTACAGAGAATCGACAACTAACCCAAAACCTATAATTGCAATGGTCGCTGGGAGAACAGCGCCGCAAGGCAAGACGATGGGACATGCCGGTGCTATCCTGTCTCCGAGGGATGTGCCCGCCGATGTTAAAGCAAAGGCACTTGAAGAAGCGGGTGCAATAGTCGTGCCGCATCCAGGAGTCATGGGCGATGAGATGAAAAGGCTGCTTCACCTGTAATTATAGTGAAAAGTTTGACAAAGGTCTGGACAGCTTAGTGCGTCTCGATCATTTCTCTACATAATGACGAGGACAACTTCTTGATATACTTGAACAGTCACACAATTCTTGGACACTGCCTTGCCCTTGGTACTTTTCTGTGATTGATCTATCATTTCTTGCCCCGGATGTGAATTTGACTGTAGTTGGTTTTCAGCGACAATATCAGAATCTGCCTGCAAGATAAGTAGAACATTTGATTGGATTCTGATTGTTTTAAGCGCAGTCAGACAACGCCTGGTTGTCTTTTCATCCGTCGCTTCAGGTAACTCAAAGGCATCTAGGTATCAAAACACTTCTGTTTGAAGGCAACGCCGGTTTGCCCCTGGATAAAAGAAAAAAAGCAAATCCTTGTAGCAAAATAACCGCCCCGAGTGGTATCAAGTGTGCTGTAACAGTCATCCCGCCTTTTCCGGGCTGACTAACTGTGTTCAAAATCAAGAGACTTGTCCCTGATGACGGCCGTCCTCTTCGTGGTCTGGACCATCTGGCCCAGGTCGCATGCCCTCATGCTTGACCTTCCGATATTTCCACTTACTGATGGCACGTCGTGGACTCATAGCCTTCTTGAATTTGGTCCAAGTCCCATCCTTTTTCACCACCGCTGGTGGCAGCTCGTACTCGCAATCTTCAAAGGGATTCTCCCCGTGATCGTGACCATGCTCCCGATCCCAATCTCGCGCAGCCTGCTCATTTTGCTCCCTGAAGTCTTCTCCGAAAGGGTTGCTCTCGGCATATGAATAATCATCGTCATCAAACGGGCTCGCCGTTCGCCGCCGGAATGTGGGGCTGCGCAGGGATGGGGTGGCGGATCTCGGCAGCCAGGAGAATCGCCGTTGAGGGTCCGCGACCGGCGGTGTGGGTTCTGGAATAATCGTGGTAGTCATCATGGTGTTGATTGTGTGCCTCCTTGTTGCTGCCGGCTAGACGGATATCAAAGTCAGTTTAGGTATTCAGATGTTGCACTGGCGCTTGTCGAGTCATACAGGTATTGAGATCTGAGCTTGAGAAAAGGCGGTGCTTTTCTCGTCGATGTCCATTGATGGGCCCCTCATCTTATCGTCGGGCTCGCACTCGTAGCCGTCGAGCATCGTGCCAGGGTACAAAAGCAGAGTAAAATGAAAAGATGTGTCCTTCTTCCAACTTGCACAAACAATGGATGTTGACGGCTTTCTTTTTTGTGCGCCTGGCACTCGTAAGGTGACTCCTGATCACTTCGAGGAGAAAGCTGGGGGCGGGGGACCGGAGTGCGCGAGCGGATATGGCCAGCCACGTTTATGTATGTACGAAAAACAATGTTTCAAGGGATGCCGAGTCATTGATCTCATGTTCTAGGCTTCATTTGGCTTTTCATTCGATCTTGTTGCATGGAACACCATAAACGATGGGTCTTTCTTCCTCCAAGGGAGGGGTAAAACCCAGTGTGTCTCCTCAAACATGAGACGCAAACCGTCGATGCGCTTTAGGGCCTTTGGGTCACCGGCGGCGCTTTCATGCTACTACCAATGCACTGTGTGATCGACTGGAAGGCGGGACGGTGATGGAGACAACTTCGTGGGCAGACCCATGTTGGCAAGACTTTGTTGGCACTGAGCAAGTGGTGGAGGCGGGAGTAGTTCCTATTCCCAGCCGTGGCATCCGGGATGGTCCTATCCGCTCCGGAGGCGATCAGTAAGGTCTCTGCGGGGCCGCCTCCGACTTACATGGGCAATCCATCCAAAAGGCCGGCGCTGCCAGCTGTCGATCACGGGCTAGTTCCGGTCGTAGACCGTATTCGCCTGCTCAAGACTGGGACTATCGTGGCATGAGTTTCTATTCTCTTTTCCCCTCCAACCTCCTCCTCTGGTTCGCATGATTAACTCTTAACAACAGCGCAAGCCGTTGACATTGCACAGCCACGTTTGGCTGGAACCCAAGCTCGGATGCACTCTGCTGCTGCATATCAACCATTGTCTGTTCTCCAAAGGAAGAGGGCTGTTTCGATAGGAGGATTATGCAGACGAACGCAATTGACGGGAAATAAAGATTCTAGAAGTCACCTGATTCGTCCAGCTACCGCCATGCATGGCAACTCTGACGCAAAGATGGGAATCTGCCAGTCTCCATCAACCCCGGCACTCCCGATCTAGTCTGTGCGCTGACAAACATCCACATCTATCCGAGACGGATAGCGAAGATCACGGACCCTTTTTCATCAGTGCGGCTTCGTCTAGGAGCTAGTCAAGCTAGTGGACTTTTGTCAGTTCGCTTGATTCTCTTACCCGTGTCACCTCACAAGCCCACTGACCGAAACGCCAAAGCAACCAATATTCGACAGCCTCCCCCGGTCATTCCGGAAAATTTCGGCGATCATGAAGCAGCCTCACGAGTCGCCTAGGACCCCTTTTTAAAGGAAGGGAAAAAACCCTTCCAGAACCCCTGCTCGTTGCCCCCCTTCACACCCTCTTCCACAACAAGTTGCCCCCTTCAAAACAAAGACAGATAGCATAGTTGGCAATAAAGACTTGTCGTGGTTCGACAATTTACAACTGTACCTTCCATGAGATAGGCTCTGTCCTAAACTTTCGGACAACATGCCATTCAGGAAACACGAACGCATAGCGGACAAGTCGTTCGAAGACAATACGGCCTCACCATATGCCGGCGGCAATAGTCACGAGAGAGTCTCCAATGAGAGGATCTCGAATGAAAGCGACATCGAGGCTGACATTCAAGTCAAGCCCCCCGGATCTCATCAAAAACAGCCAACGGATAGCATCAGTGGACATCAGATTTTTTACATCTTTGGACTCGACGGTATTGGTGCCGGAGTTCTCTCTGGGGGCATAAATTTTGCCATCGCTTACGGTTAGGCCCCGCAACAGTTTGTTGAGCTTAAGTTTTTGGCGAACCAAGCAAGAACATGAGAGTTTATTGACACAAACTATGCAGGCATGTACTCAACTCAGAACATTGTTCGCAATCCTATTCGCCTATTCCAGTTGCCCAACACACTAGCTGGCGATGCAGTGGTCACCGTGGTCATCCAAACGGCAATGACATGGTTCATCGAGCTTTTTCTAGCCAACCGCGACATGAAGAATGGGAGCGTCCGCCCAATAGGCTTCATCGAAGAACCTTCGCAACCTTTCCTGCGGTGGTTCATGATGCTCAATCTAGAAGACGCGATGCACACCAAGAGCAGGCTTTCGGTGTTTGCTGAACACGTTATGCGGATCGGCTTGATCTTTGTTGTTTCATTCTTTCTGCTCTGGCCAGCCTCAGTCGGAATTTTGACCGTTATCGGAGCCCGGGGATCAGGGAATGATTGGGACTGGTATTTCCAACGCACGTGGGCGCCCGAAGCCTTCAAAGGGATCCTTGGAGGAATTCTCGGTCTTCTCACCACGCCGGTTATGGCTTCGTACTGGCTTGTCAAGGAGGGTTGGCGCTTGAAGAGAGGAGGAACTTTGTTGAGTTGAGGGGTGAGCTGCCCAGACGACTTTGGAACAGGGAATTAGCTTGGCGTTTGGCGGAACAAAAATTTTCTTCTCATATCAAACACTTCCAGCAACGTACATCGTTGCTTGCTGACTCGCTATAACAAAGTGTAACTCCAATGTAAGAAGAAGTGTCCGATGGACGGGGTGGGATGAACCAATAACAGACACGAGTTTTGTGTCTACAGGTAACAGGCTGCCGTTCCTGGCCCGTACGAATTCTCCAAATAGTTCATCCCTAGTTTTCGGCCAGACAAGGCTATTTCCAGACACAATCTAGCGAAGCAATTGACTGGCTTCATTCATGAAACCTTTCACTGTGATACCGTACACGACCTAAGTACTTAGGCGTGTCAATCATAAAGCAGGTATCGAATATAATTTTGAGTGAAGACAGATACTTATGTACTTAGATAAGTGAGTTTATATCATTCCACGGTTGCGGAATCATCTCTGATAACTTGTTCTTGAGCAGTTCCATACAATTGAGCCTCCATCACCCATGAACAAAAGATGCCACAAAACTCGTGGGCTGTTCTTAGGAGCTTGAATGAACGACATTCTCTTCACACGTGCAGTCATCAACGAGTTTCGAAGTGAAACTCACTTCCCTCCAAACACAACCAGGACTGTTTATAAATTATGGATCTTAGCCATACTTTTCTGTCCCCAAACAACTAGAAACTAACCATCATTCGGTATTTCCATCTTCAACACTTGACAGTAGGAATTGCGTCGGATTTGACATACGGGACAGAAGTCACCTGTATGAATGCTACATGGGCCGAAGGAACAGTTCCACTATCGGTGTTAGCTACCTGAGCATACCTTACTCAGTAGATGCGAAGCTTCTTCGACTTACGCAATACCACACAATGACGCATTGAGGTTCTTTCGAATAGTCTTGGAAGCTCTCCGTCAAAGGGTCGAGCGCAAATACTTCCTAGTTGTCAGTGATTATTTTAAGGCTTGCTTAAAGTAGGCCCAACCTCTCTCTGTTTCCGAATTGGCCCTTATCTGCTGTCTGGTTGTGTGCGCTTCAGTTTCGCCTAAACCTTCGCTTGAATCTCTTCCTTCTTTCGACTCTTGAGATTTGAAGGGGTCGTGAATGGTGTAGCGTCCACCCGCAGTTATCGGAACTGGCTTGGTAATCATGTTACCAAGAGCGAATTTGCTTGGCTCAACGGAAGTGCACTTCAATCCAAACGAAAGATTGATGTCGGCGATAATGTCTTCGGCAATGACCATGAGGGCTAAAGGTTGACCTGGATAAATTGCGACTATCATACCGCCGAATGAAAGACCCCGGGACAGCCATGTTCCCGATGTTCCAGGCGCTACCGTGCTGTCAGTCAGTTACCATGGCAGATAAACGAAATGGGTCTGTGGTACCTAATGGTTCCGATAGCTGAATCTTGCGAACAATCAGCTCTTCTGACGCAAAAGGCAATGTGGTTCCTGGCAGTAGAACGGCAACGCTCAGTTCTCCCGGGCCTAGGATAAGAGTTAAAGGACCACTCTCAAGTGAATCGTTGGTAATAAAGGACGGAATTTCCATTTCCGGAATCAGAGATGATACGTTCTGCAAGGACGATAAGATTTCTGATCGCAGCAATGCATAGTCGGCAGGTCCAGGAGTAGTAGGGATCGAGCAGCACCTAAATACCGCTTTTTATTTATAGACTAACGGAACTACGGAGCGGTTTAACTAGGACATTAAAATAATCCTAAGGCGTATAATTACTTATACTTAGGACGACTAAGAGGACTAGCTTCCCGTTACCTAACTTAGCCTTAATAACCGCATAGCCTCGGCGACGGAGCTATCCTCTTTCTTTATTAAATATGGATATTACTGTTGGTATCACAGGCGTGATAAATTTCCTCATGAGGGTGTATCTTCGGCAACAATCACGTTGATGTCCGTGATAATTGCTGTTGTTGTTCTTCTTCCTATTTACATTGTGGGCAGGGTGTTACGGCCAGCTAGTCGTAGGGGTAGTTTGCAGAAGTTGAGGCTGCGGAACTGGTAACAGTAATCGTAGTCGGGGATAGCTTCAGGGAAGCTATGTCTGTCAATCGTAAGGGTAGGTAAGGCTTCGGTGATCAATCGTAGTCTTGTCAAGGTAGTAGCTGAAAGCGGATGTTAATCCTGATACGAAGTTAATTGCTGAAGAGCTATGGAAGTCTGTCCTAGAGTCCAGCTCAAGTCCATCCTTATATACAAGTCCTGATCCTGAACATGTCCCTTGTCCCTTGGGTCGTCTTGGGTCATTCTGATCCAGAATGATCGTTTAGCCCCCAAGTCGTGTTGGATCATATTGATCCCAAATGATCCTTATCTTATCATCACGTGACTTGTACCATAGTTCTTCCGTTCCGTGAGAGGGTGCCTTGTGTCCCCTTGTCCTGTGCATGTATGGCGTATCGTAACCGTCGTAAGCCTGCGGGGCAGGCCCTGTTCTTGGTCGTGCATGTTGGGTCGTAACATCTATATACTGAAATCACCCCTACGTGGCCTCACGAGGGCTGGGCTCTTAACACTTATGAATTTTTACATCCAACCAAGCTTTATACGGGGCTCCTGCCGGCGCGCCGACTGTCTATATGTTGGAGAACTATTCGTCTTTGCTCAATACTCGGGGATGTGTCTTACCCTGATGCTTTTTGTCATACCCAAATTCTCGCTGAACGGCACCTATTCTACGTTGTTGAGCTTCACCAGGACTCTGTTAATAGCAACTTGATCCCTCCGCTCCTGGCTCCCTACCTAGGCCACGACACGAAGACGGAAAGAACTGGCTCGTGCTGCCGAGAATCGCCAGCAATGCGAACACACTCTATTTCATATCTCAGGGCACTTGTAGACAACGAGAGAGGAAGACACCTCGAATGAAACCAAGGATAACGGGAGCAAAGAGGGTACCAGCACAGAAAGTATCGATGATTAAGTTCATTCATACAGCTCGCTCAGCTGCGCATTACATACACGAATTGCAACCTCTCTACATCCTCCCATCACTTAACCCCAGCGCTTTCCAAAGCATCATAAATCGTCTGGTTAACAGGCAGAACACCACAATGCCTCAACCCACTAGGGAACCCAGTCATCGAACTAGCAGTCCAGCCCGAGTTACTCGCCACATTAGTGGTCTCATACGGCCTATACCCATCATCACCATAGAAATCAAGCAGCACATGCGCCTTGCCCGCAACCTGGTTATCCCATTACGAAGCAGGGCCCTCGACACCGCTGGCGATAACAGCGGAGCTACCGCCGGGACGGGTCCAGGAACCGAAGAGTCCCGTGGTGGAGACCTCGACAAAGACGGTCTTGAGGGACTCGTCCTTGAGGAAGCGCACAAAGGACTTGCCGTCGGTGCCGGTGGGGAGGATGTTGAGGTCGATGATGTTGGTGGGGGACTTGTCGATGTAGGTCTGCGGGGTGGAGAAGGTCTTGGAGTCCGAGGTGTAGGCGTAGCGGATTACGATGGCGCCGGGGCTGCCGGTGTGGTTCGGGTCCGAGGTGGGGTACTGTTTACGCCGCGGTCAGTTTCGACTGTCTTGAAAGAGGGAAGTATGCCAAGGTTGGTTAACTCACAAACTTGGAGGCCCAGTGAACGAGGTACTGCCCCTTGGCAGCATCCCAGATGGCCTCGGGAGCCCACACCATGCCGGCGCTAGAGTTCTCAACGACAACGAGTCTCTCGTTGGTCCAGTTGACGAGATCCGTGCTCTCCCAGACGAAAATGCCCTTGGATCCCTGTCTCTGAGCAGCATCCCAGGTAGTCTAAATAAGATCGCGATCAGCGCGCGGGTCCCCATCAACAGAGAGTGGTGAAGACAAGCTTACCTTTCCGATATCCAAATCCGTACCAACAATATACCACTTCATCCCCTTCTCCGCGCCACCACCCACAACAATAGCAGGATGACGCACACCGCCCGTTCCCTTAGTCGGCCGAATTTGTTGCCGTTGGAGAGGTATAAGTACACATACGGATCCGCGCCGAGGAAGAAGGCACCGAGGTAGCCCGTCAGACTCGGGTCGGCGCGGGGCGCAAGGGACGTGCCGCTGAAGTCGAGAGACTGGATGGGCGTGGCCTGGACCGAGGTCGCGGCCAGGCTTGCGCCGAGGAGGAGGAGGGATTTGAGAGAGGGCATCGTGACTATTGAGGATAAGGGATGGAGGATGCTGAGGCACACGAGGAAGAGAAGGAACGGGTCGCAATGGGTTCGGGGACGGCGACTCTTTTATCATGTCCTCGTCGGGACCCAGGAGGTGTCAACCCCACATAGATTGACTGACACACCCCGCAATCTGGGGAAACGCAACGTCGAGTCTTGACCATCGTCATAGGTGTGGTGGAAAGAGGGCCTGTCACTCTCATCTCGGACAAGCGTCGTGATGGCGGGGCGGGTATCGTCGCGCAACGTTGACAACGGCGAAGCTGTCGGCGAAGACACCCCGAGATGGATATGCGCTACGAGCGACTAGTCTAGTCCAGCTACGAAAGACGCGCCCGAACGAGCTGGTCCCCGCCGCGGCCGGCGCCGAGGTTAAATCAAGGTTTCCTGGCCTCGTAACTGGCGAATGCCCGGCCATCCCACACTACCGCAGACTGTCACCACGCAACGTGCCAAGGGGCGCTAGAGTTTTCCCGTCGCTGGAAGATCTGCTCCCAGTGTCGTGTCGAGGGCAACCCAAGGCGTGACGGGAGATGCAAGGCACCGGGGACTTCGGGGCCGGGTTGGGCGTGGGCTGCACCCACCAAATACACAGTCACGAGGACCATCACGAAATAAGTAGAGTGGATAGAATCGGACCATATCCGTACCTTATGCTTTTCAATCAGAATGCTTCACGGGCTGAGCTGCATATGCTCGAATCAGGGAAATTAGGTCACCGCTCATCCCATATGTTTTCGGCTCCATCAATACTCTCATATCCCCAGTCGTCATCGGCAGGCACATGGCAAAATACTGCCAGGCACGGCCGGAGGTGGTTCATCGAAAGTAAACGAACAGGGAAAAGTCGACTAAAACAAAACCTTAGAAAGAGGGGCCGGACACGACTCTCCCCTGAAAGAGGCAGAGTTGGAGATGATCCCAGGTGCCGGAAGATCTCAGATACGACGTCAGTTGGCGTGTGGGGTTAGGCGTGGTGCCGAGTGGGACTTTTCATTAGTGCGCATGTTTGCGTAGAGCGCCGGACCGAGGGGTAAATAAGAACTTGTTCATTGTTGAAGAAACGGGGCGTGGTTGATGGGGTCAAGTGTGGATATAAATATACCTCGGGTACATAAGTACGAGGAATCCAATGGAAAATATACTCAGAAGATTGACGGTGCAAAAAAGTATGTACATGTGAAGAGATGGTGGATAAGACTGGGAAATAAAGCGCGCCACGTGCGGCTCGCGACTTGGGATGCCCTGCCACTGAACCCCCACTCAGAGACACTATCAATCACGTTAATACCATCGCCATCTCGTCCGAGGAAAGTGCTAGAGAGAATGAGGCAGGAGATAGGCAAAAAGGCTTGCTTACCTGAGAGTAGTAGGAGTCCTTGATGGTGCACTTCAGCCCGGCAGCACACTGGAAGCTGCCGTTCCACGTCGATCCGCCACACTGCCCGTACAGCGGCTGCGCTGTCGAGATCGCGAGAGCAAGGATCTTGGCGGCAGCGTGTTCGGCCGAGACCACAATGTACGAAGACGGGTTGGTGGTGACCATACCAGGGAAGATGCTGGCGTCTACAACGAAGAGATTATCTGTGCCATACACCTTTGTGTTGACGTCGACGACCGAGTCACCTCCACTGGTGCGACCGTCGTTGGTGCCGAGCTTGTTTGTGCCTGTTTTGCGACATTGTCAGTCAGCGATTCCGATGCTACGGACGGGTGTGAGTGGGGCATGCGGGGGATCAACTTACCGATCCAGTGGTTCGCGCGACGGTTCGAGTACGAGACGAGCATGTTGTTGACATAGTCTCTGACGGTCGTCCCTGGAGGAGGGAAGTTCCAGACAAGGTTGGCCACGCTCTTGAGAGAGGTCTGTAGGTTCTCGAGGCCCTTGATGACGGCCTCGACATCATTTTGGTCGCGAAGGTAGGGTACGGTGGACACGACGGTGCCGAGGTTGGCCTGGATGGTCATTCTGCCGCGTGAAGTTGCGCCACGGCCGAGGTATTGGCTGATGGTAATGGTCTCTGTACAGTGTGTCAGTAATCATACGCCGAGCGAACGTGAGCCTGGGGGAACACCTACTGCCGTCGGGAGCCTCGAGACTGCCCTCCATACGGGCGGTATATTGCATCTGCCGAGTGATGCCATCTGCGCCCTTGATCTCCTCGAAGAATCTACGATGACGTTAGCAATGGCAACGAGGGCCAGCGCGTGGCAACGAATCAACTCACAGGGGGCCAATGTTGGGTGCAGATTGAGCCAAAATACCGCTTCTCTTCTGCAGATATAGGTTCTTGTCGGTGACGTTAGGGTCAGTATACGCCTCGTAGAAGTCGTAGAACTGTACGTCGGGGTGGGTGACAACGGTATCAGTCTGTGTCCAATTAGCCTATGTTCAGGTGTTGTGAAGCTGTCAAAGGGACCCACGTTGGTGTGATCCTCCAGGTTGTATCCGACAGGCAGGTTGATCCAGGATGCGTTGGAGATCATGGTTGGTCCATCAGTGGAGCTCTTGACGATCTCGAGCTGATCTTGTGGGCCAATGCCGCTGCGAAGGAGAAGCTTGGCACTGCCAAAGGTTCCTGCGGACAGGATCACTCGGCCCGAGATGCTAGTCACGTTGACCGTTCCGGTGTATCCCCCGTCCAAGTATGGCTCAACCTCGATGCCGGTAATGTGCCCACCAGTCCGGACAACACGCTTCACGGCCGTCTTGGTCCACAGCTTGAAGTTGCTACGCTTGCTCGCTGTGACAAGGTACGTCGCCATGGGGCCACCACGCTCACCCCCGGAATACATATAGGGCGTCTTGCCGAACGTGCGATTCTTGGAGTTCGGGTTCGCGTTGAGGTCGAGCTCCGACCATCCAGCAGTCCGAAGTCCGCCCGCAATGGCGTTGAAGCCGTTCGTCAAGTAGACCTTGCCGTCTTGAGATGGGGTCGTGGTGCCAGGGATACGAGAGAATACCCGGCTTGTGGCTGCGGCGACATCGGTTGACTTCCATCCGGCTGGGAAGTTATAGTCCCAGTCCTGGGCATATGGCTGTAAGATGTTAGCACCAGCTTTGTTGGTATTGACCGGGCAACAACAAACCTTCCACCAAAGAGCAGCGTTTATGGCGGTGCCTCCACCTAGAACACAACCGGCCATCTGGTCGGTATCTTGGCAGGCGATGCCGGCAGAGTCGCGCCAGATCTGGTTGCAAAGACCAGGGACATCGAATCTGGTCAGGTTGGTGCCTTCCAACCAGGTCGGCTTCATAGTGCCACCCCATCTACCGGAAGACGGCGGCCCCTTCTCGATCAACAAGACGCTCTTACCAGCCTCACTCAGCTTGTCGGCCAAGGGGATGCCGCCGGCTCCTGCTCCGATAATAATGTAGTCGTAGGTCCCGGAGGGAACGGGCACACCGGTAGGTCCAGTAGGTGCCTTCGTGGTGGTGGTGGAAGGTGGCGCTGAGGTTGTCGTAGCGCCGCCACAGCTGCCCGTGACGGTCTTCGTTGCCAAAGCGGCCCAGGCAGAGTACGAAGGGTTTGCAGCGTTAGCATCGAGAGCAGCTCCATGGATACCTTGGTTCTCGTGCTGGACCAGGCCGATCGAGGCTGGGCACGTGGGGTTGGTTGGGCTAGTGAAGGCTTGAGCCCATCCAAGAACAAGAGAGCCCGCGCTAGTCGAGACGCTGCCGGTGGCACCGTTATGGTTCCAGTTGAAGCAGTTCTGGCACCGGTAGATGAGTGTATAATGCGTCGCATTGATCGTAGACGAGATCTGCGTGAGCTTGGCATCGCCTGCGTAGACATCGGGCATCACATAGCCCGTTGCCCAACGAAACGAGGTCAGGATATCAGAGCCACTAGGCCACGCCATGAGAAGCAACTTGTTCGTCATCGATCCACCGAGGGAGATACCGCACCAGCCGGTGCCCTGGCCGTTCTTGGAGGCGCATTGCTGGACGAACACTGTTAGTTGGTGAGGGGGACAGCGGGGTTATGAGACCTACGAGATAACCAACGAATTCGTTGGCGTCCGTCGTCAAAGCAGTTTGAGGCAGAGCAAAACCGTATGTCATGCCCCCGGCCGTTTGAGCGCTCGTTGCGGACCAAGTGTCGAAGATGATCCCAGTCTTGGAGTCAGTCAAGACGACCGGTGTCGGGGACTGGGCGGCAGCTCCATCGAGGACTTGCACCCTATGTTAGCTGAACACTTCTTCTTGGTGATATCGAAGACCTACGAGATGTCGTGGCCAGGAGTGCTGCCAGAGCACCAGAACGACTGAAGAACTTCATGGTACCGGACGTCAATGTCAACACAGGTCTAGCAACCGAAACCTCGGATCTAGCCTTCGATATCGGGGAGGGCGAGAGGTCATTTAAAGCAACGGTGACATTTGCCAAGGCCCAGCACCTCCTTAGATGCCCTCTCCCTCGCCGCCATCCTGGGACCTACTACTTTCTTCTTTCAGATATCAAACCCTGGAGTTGGCGCCGCTGCCACATGACCAGAGACTCCCACCACCTGGCTCGACCAGTGGTATCTCCCGTGATTGTGGATGGATGCATGGTTTGAAAATGCACCGATAGGAGGAAATTTTGTATGGTGTTTGTTCAGGGGGTCCATCACAGTATGGGGGACAAGCGGCATAGGTTGTTGAAAGTGGTGGGGTTGGGCCTCTTTCCAACGGAATGTAACAGTGCTGAATTGCCTTTTGTTGGTCAAGCTTCATGACCGGGGTTGATCCAGGCACATCAATCTACCAGAGGCAGCGGGAGAACCAGGAATCAGATGAAGGGGCAAGGGACTGGATGAAGCGGTGGACGCGGGGGACTCGGGTGTTTGCACATGAGACGAACCAGCACGCGAGAAAGAAGAAACGAGGCCCGGGAAAGAAAATCAGAAAAGAAGAAAGCGCCGGTGAAGGCTCAGCTTGTGCTTGACGTATATGAAAGCCATGATCTTGACAGGTAAACCGCGAGTCTGGC